CCCCCCCCCCCCCCCCCCCCCCCCCCCCCCCCCCCCCCCCCCCCCCCCCCCCCCCCCCCCCCCCCCCCCCCCCAACGGTGGTCTGAATGACGAGTGAGCCGGCCATGGGTGTCTTGGCTCTAATGGCATGAACATTTGGTCAGACTGTGACTCAAATCGAAGGGAGCCTCAATCCATACAAGTTGTCAACCTCTCAACATTGAAAATACTCGGGATTAGTAGAAGCTCGCTCTGCTAACTAGCTAAATGGCTCTGATGGTATGCTTGTCCGATTCAGACTATGTGAGATGATAGCGGAGCCGAGATTCTTTTTACGGCATACTGAGAGGGTTCCAGAGCCGTAGATACAAGGAGCTGGCTTAAATGGCAGTGCTCGTGAGGTGTATATGATCTATCTACCTTTAGGTGATCCCAGTATCCGTTTTAACCTTAAGATGAAGTTTTGCATTCTTAATTCGGCAACCGGGTACAGGCTGCTGTGAAGGGAGAACATGCGTATAAAAGAATGGTATTGTGTTTAAAAGCTATACACATTGAATGATCGTCTCGATCCTTTACTCTCTACCAAACAATAGAGACTGGCTGCAGTCTTCAATAACGCACCCTCTCTTTTTTTTTGGTGTGTTTCTTTTCTTTCAGTGACCCACCCAAAGCTTCCGTCAACTCACCAAAAAACAAAGGAATGGAAGCTAAGATAAAAAAGAAATGACTGCAACGACAGAAACAAACAAGCTCTTGGATAATTTGCCTCAAGAAAGAGCGGTCCTGTCATAGTGCACGTGTCTCAACGACCCTCTCGGCTCATTCTGTCTGGGAATGCCTCAAAATAATACCGTCTGGATGTGGTGCTAGGATTATGTCAGTGAGTAGATTCTCATTTGGTGTATGATACTGTAAGATGCGTACCTTTCTAGTCCTCATCAATGGCCGCCATGGCTTCCGCAAGAGCATCCGCGGAGCGTTTAAATTCATTGACGACATCGGCAGCTCGCTTGACCCTGATAGCTTCCGGGGAGGCATCTGCCATAGCCTCGGCGAGGGCATCAGCTGAACGTCTAACTTCTCCGGTGGCGTCGGCCGCTCGCTTAAGCATAGCACAGGGTTGGCCGGGAAGGTGACACCATTTCTGCAAGGTCCCAGCTTGCACAGTTGTCGCGGCAAGGGTGGCCAACACGAAGGTAATAAGCTTCATCTTGAAGAAAGATAGGTGAAAATAGATATAAAATCAAGGAAAATGAAGGGATGTTTGGTAGAGAGTATGCGTTCTTGTCCTAAAACACCGTGGGTCGATCGAATAAGCTGCAGAGTCAAGGACCATGGCCGATTATATACAAGTCGGACGCTGCCACTAGAAAACCACAACTCCATAATGCGCCTGGGTGATAACGCAGGCCTTATTCATGCGCACATTAGGGATGGTTGGATAGCCAGGGGAGAATGGGCGCCACCGGTCGTGAATAAGGGGGCGATTGAGAAATAGTGAAGGGAATTCATTCTCAATAAACGGCAATAAAGCTCGGATAGAGCCCATGTATAACAAGCAGCAGAGGGTGGAATAAGCGCTCTATGGACAAAGAGGATAGGGGCTTCCATCTCTGCAAGGCATAGATAGATGAATAAGGACCGTCACCAAGTCATCAGGGCATGGCGACTTGAAAGAAAGGGGACATCTCAAAGGACCATCAATAAGAGGTAGTCAGTCAATAGAGGCGGGTGAATAAGAGCCGTTGATTAATGTACCAGATAGGTTAGAGTTGGGCCTCGGAGCGATCGGGTCAGCGGATTGATAAGATGCGAGAGACGGAGTCTTGCCAATAAGGGTTTGCGATGAACTCGGCCGTCAAGATCATTCTCAAGTTTTCAACCGCACAGGTAGGTAGTTGCTAGGTAGCAGTTAGTTAGGCAGTGATTATGGATGATCAAATCCAAGATAAGATCGGGTCGGGATCACTGAGGCGATGGATGCCGAGAGGATCCGCCGCCTTTTCCGGTGTCTCGTGCATCGCTCTCTCTCTCTCGACCCCCGTTTCTTCCCATCCTCGTTTCTTTCTTCCCTGCCACTCCCTTCTCTCTTCCCCCCCCCAAGGATACCTGTATACCTATCTCCTCTCCCTCACCCGCCGAAAATGTTTTCTTTGAGGACCGCGCAGTCGGCGCAGGTAAGTCAATCTGGCAATTCCACCCTTCTGCATTCCTCCCTCCCGAACAAGTTTTCTGTTCCTTTGTCTTGGATCATGCACTGCACTTTACATCCCTCCGTCCGATATTACCGCCACGAGGTCAATCCCGACGCGCAAACAATCCCCCCCCCCCCCCTCCCCCCTTTTGTTTTTCCCGGTCGTCTCTTTTTTTGCGTTCAACCTCTTTTCTGTCCTTTTATTTTCCTTGATTTCTCATGAACCCCCCTCCCCTGTCCAGCCGATTTTGGGTTAGATCTAGGACGAAGAATTAACCCGGCGCTCAAAATTAGTCTTTTCTCCGCCGTGCGGCCGTGACGCCCTCGCTTGCTCGCTCTTCCATTCCGGTTCGATGTGCGTTTTACTCACCGTTCTACCTACCGTGATCACAAAGGATTCTGACTTCTTTCGTCTTGCCAATCCCCAGCTTTTGCTAGTGTCCAGTCGGATATTTTCAAGCCTACCAAGTATGGTGGTAAATACACCGTCACTCTCATTCCCGGTATGTGCGAACCTTCCTGCAAAGGTTGCCCATTGTGTCGCTGACATCTCTGCTTCTTCCCGTACGCAGGTGACGGAATTGGCGCCGAAGTCGCCGAGTCGGTCAAGACCATCTTCAAGGCCGACAATGTGCCCATTGAGTGGGAGCAGGTAGATGTTAGCGGTGTGGATACGGGTAATAAGCACTCGGAAGAGCTCTTCAAGGAATCCATCGCATCTCTCCGCCGCAACAAGCTGGGTCTCAAGGGAATTCTCTTTACCCCGGTTGAGCGCTCGGGTCACCAGTCGTTCAACGTTGCTCTTCGCCAGGAACTCGATATCTTTGCCTCGATCGTTCTTATCAAAAACATTCCGGGTTACCAAACACGCCACAAGGATGTGGATCTTTGCATCATCCGTGAGAACACCGAGGGTGAATACTCGGGTCTCGAGCACCAATCGGTGCAGGGAGTTGTTGAATCCCTGAAGATCATCACTCGTGCTAAGTCCGAGCGCATCGCCAAGTTTGCCTTTGGCTTCGCCCTTGCGAATAACCGAAAGAAGGTCACCTGTATCCACAAGGCCAACATTATGAAGCTCGCCGATGGCTTGTTCCGCAGCACTTTCCACAAAGTCGCCGAAAACTACCCGACCCTGGAGGTCAATGACATGATCGTTGATAACGCATCCATGCAGGCTGTCTCGCGGCCCCAGCAGTTCGACGTCATGGTCATGCCAAACCTTTACGGAGGCATTCTCTCTAACGTTGGTGCCGCTCTTGTTGGCGGACCCGGCCTGGTTCCCGGTTGCAACATGGGCCGGGATGTTGCCGTGTTCGAACCTGGCTGCCGTCACGTCGGCCTTGACATCAAAGGAAAGGACCAGGCCAACCCAAGTGCTATGATTCTCTCTGGATCTATGCTTTTGCGTCATCTCGGCTTGGATGACCACGCTAACAGAATCTCGAAGGCCGTGTACGACGTCATCGGCGAAGGGTAAGTGACCTCGTAATTTCTACATATTTGTGTCTGTGCTGACACGTACTGCCCTTTTAGCAAAACGAGGACCCGTGACATGGGTGGACAGGCGACTACGCACGAGTTCACCAGAGCCGTTCTGGACAAGATGGAGACTGCTTTGTAAACCATCAGTTTCTGCGCTCTTTACGTCCTGCTAGATTCTTTTAAGACGATGGGGCAAGGGGGTGTATACGGCAGCGCGATGCTTTGGCGGCCTGTGCTGACTGTTCCCATCCCGTCTTTGTATCATCTTCTACTAGAGCACCGGGGGGGCGTCTTGTTACACAATTACTACTGCCATAGACAACCATGAGGGAGGGGGTTAGGGATGTGTGTACAATTACATAGTATTGTTGGGAAATAAAATCCTATCCTTTTTTTGTAATCATCGCTCGGTTCTGTATGCTGTTCTGGCATTAGTTGCCATCATGGCAAGCCGCACGGGGGAAAAGATAATTCAAACAGGCTATCGATTGGGCTCTGAAGTACGTCTCTTGGAAATCCATGGGCACTGCCAGCCAGCGTGTTTTTCATAGAAAAAAGCAGTATTTTTCGCGCCCTTGACGTACCGAGCTAACGGTCCACAAAATTGAAGGCAAGCGAACTGGAACAACCAACAGAGTTAAGACTGCGGGCTGACAAAGTACCGAGGCCCGCAGACATTCATGTAGGTGGTTTAGGGTGTCCTCGCAGACAGGACTCGCAGTATATTGCTGGTCGCGCAAACGAGTTGGAATTCCTCGACGCAGACGATACCCCGTTTCAATGCAAGGTGATGTTTGCCGCGAAAAAAGTTGTGAAGGAACACATCGAGGGATTTGGTAGGCAAAGTCGGCCATTCCGTAAGACTGTATCAAAATGCAGGTCGCCGTTTCCTGCCAGTGTATTTGGAACTCGATTTCACGATCTTGCCTTTCTTTGCCATCTGCTCCTTCTTCCGCATAATCCAAGCTCGGTCCCCTTTCTTGGAAGATGGCGCCTTGCCGTTCGCAGCGGCCCTTCTCCTGGCATCCAGAACATTGACGCCGTCCATGTCATTCACGACACCTGTGATATCGCCCTGCAAGCCGCCTCCGCCAACTGTCAAAACAAGATACAATTTACTGTTCTTAGTTCCAGGGTCATCTTCCAGAATGCCGGCCCCAAAGCCAGCCCTAATAGCCGCGGCACTGATCATGCTTCGCTGCGCATCATTTTTCGGATAGAACTGACAGACTGCACGGCCTCCACGCCGGAGACTGGCATATAGGCCTTCAAAAAATCGACGTAGACGACCCTCAGGACTGACGTCGCTTGTTTCTGCGTTGCAGAGCCATTGAATGGCACTGATGCTAATGGCTGCGTCAAATGAACCAGGTCGGAACGGTACCCCTTGGCCGATATCGGCCAGGAACAAATCGCCTTCGACACCTCGTTGGAGAGCAACATCCAGCATGCTGGGAGAGATGTCCATGCCAACCCAAGTATGCGGCCCACCGTGCTCGGCAGGTACTTGAGAAAGGATCTCACCAGAAAGTCCGGAGCCGCAACCAAGGTCTAGGATGAGAGACGGGGATCGCAGGTCGAGAAGTTCGAGCGCCCGATTCGTCATATCAGCTTGGATATTCCGGATACGGGAGGAAGTAGTGTATTTCCGTGATTCATTATCATCGTAGAAGAGGTCCGGTGGTCTTGGTAGAATGGTCAGAGAGAAGAACGAAAAACAAAAGGAAAGAAAAAAAATTGGTGGTGAAGACAGAGGACTGAGAATTAAACTTACAAGATATCTTCAGGGCGTGACATGATGAATTCAACGAGCAATATGAGGGGAAATCCTCGAACCTTTTACTGGATTGTGAGGCAAAAATTTTGGCTTCTAACCACCTGAGAGTGAGGACGGCCGAAGATTCGGTAACTACGCCGTTAGTGCCTGAGGCAGAGATAATGCCGTCCTCCGCAGTTGCAGTCTGGCCATTCCGCCATTCATCCATCCATCTCTACATATTACCATGACCCTTAAGTGATAGAGGGCGCAACCCTTTTTCTTTTCGGATCTCACGCGCTCGCCCCTTGTTCATCTGTGGGATTCCTTTTACTTCACTTTTTTGTTCTTCTCGAGGTTTCTCTTTTGCCAACCTGACCCCGGCTGTTATACTGCTCTCGACAGCATGTGGATACTGCCTTTGGTTGGATACCTGGGGGTCATCGTAGGATTCTCCTTTCTGACCCTTGCCATAGGTAAGCGCCATAGCTATGAGATTTTTCTTAGGAAGCGGCTCTTTTCTCCGCAACAATGGCCATCAGCTTGAATACTGACACCCTCTCCAGCCTCGGGACTCTACTACTTGTCCGAGCTCGTAGAGGAACATACAGTCCTCGCCCGCCGACTATTGACTCGGTTGATATATAGCGTCATACTCATCCAAATCCTTCTGTCTGTTGTCGATCGATTCCCGCTCTCTTTGTCTCTCCTCAGCATCGGCTCCCACTTGGTCTATGCCAGCAACCTACGACGGTTCCCCATTGTCAAACTCTCGGACCCGCTCTTCGTTCTGTCCTGCGTTCTTGTCGGACTAAACCACTGGCTCTGGTTTCGCCATTTTTCCAAACCCCTCCCCTCGTCACGAGCTGGAACTAATTGGCGCAACCCATATCAGGTGGATGTGGACATGCCGACCTTCACTGAGGTCGCGTCTTACTTCGGACTCTGTGTTTGGCTGGTTCCCTTTTCGCTTTTCGTCAGTCTCAGTGCGGGAGAGAATATTTTGCCTAGCATGGGCTCCGAGTATGCTACGGGAGAGCATGTCTCGACTGCCGGGTTTGCTAACAATGCCCTTTCATCGGAAGGGAAGAGCAAGAACAAGGGAATGGCAAAGGCTTTGGTTGACGGCACTCGAGACTGGGTCCGGGAAAACGGCGAATTAATGGGTTTCTGGAGAGGAGACCACTCTAAACGATTCTGAAGCTTCTTGTCACATACCAGATAAGGCTGAAGGAACGTCACTAGAGGGTGTTGTCCTTTTGAATCATCTATTGTTATTATGTAAACATTATGTCAAATCCATCTATTCCAATAACTTGCCCCTAAAAAGAGTTGCGAGGGGTCAAGGGCAGTTACGACCACAGTAAGAACGGCATCGGCCTCTTTGAGGGTCTGCTAGTTTATAATTCATTGCAAAAAACAAACACGTTATCAGTTTAAAGAAAATCGACAGACGGGACTTCACTCGGGGCTTTAAAGCAACATCAAGATAAGAAATGGGTATATCAATCCTTCGAGGTTATTTATGGCATGCAACGTAGGAGAGCTGACAAAAGAGGACCGGCACGCATCTGTACAAAAAAACCATGGCAATAATGACTTGGAGCAGAATATCGATGAACTCATATCAAACACAGCGGTACAGAATTAACAACACATGGGGGAACAAAGGCATAATTCAAAATTAGGTTCGTAAAAGAGTTTGGCAAATTACCATTACTATCACTAGTCCCTAGACAACGAGTGTGGCCGGACTTTGAGCGTTCGTCATTTCATTTGCGTTAGAATCATCATCGACCTTGATCAGCCATAATGGGACCACGAGACAGAGTGATCGGAAGAAGAAAGAGGATAAGGAGAAGGATCAGAAGGAGAAGAAAAGGAGGACTCCGGGTATGACTTTCTGCACGAATACCATTCTTGAATGGCTGTTGAGTTGTCATAGAGCCATTAATTACTTAGGCCACATTTACTGTCAGCTGAGAACGGATTACAAAGACTAATGACACAGAAACTGACCTCGGTCGATTTAATAGGGTGGAGGAGAGCTGCTCTGATGGTTAAGTTCCATGAAGAGCATCGAGCTTTCTCTTCTTTTCGCCTTGGCAGATCGAGAAGTCTCGTTTGCCGGTGTTAACATAGACGGGGAATACATTTCGTCTTCATTGGCGAGGTCTGATTTGTGGTTAGAGTGTTCGTAGCTCGGCTGCATGGAAATGAAACCAGTGTCGTGATGCGTATTGAAATCCTCAAGAGGCTCTTCTTTACGGAAGGCTGTCTGGCCATAACCTGGCGTTGGAATGTCGGAGAACATCTGTCGGCGCGGCGAACGGACGTCTCCTGAGGAGATGGAGTGACTGGCATTAAGTTCCGCAGTGGCCGAACCGGAGCTTGGGGGATCCTCGAAGATATCTTCGAAGTTAGTGAGGAACATTGAAAAGACAGGCGCCGGAATGTTGAGCGTTGGAGCAAAAACGATGCCGACGTTCCTGACTGTCATTTTATTGACATCCGAGTTATTCACGATATTGATCAGGAATTGGACCAATGCCCGTAACAGGGTCAGGTTCGCTTTCGGGAGCCTGTGAACGAGCGAGTTGAATGCCACGAGCTTTTTCTGCTTCTCGTCGAGTTCTACCGCAGCAGATGTCAGCGCAAAGGATCTAGAGGAAGGAGGGTAGAGTATCCAGTCCTACCAAGCACGCGAAGGAATTCCAGATGAAGCTCGCGGGTGAGAACCGTTGTAGGGAGCTCCCGCAGATACTGCTTGAAAAGGGATGCAACGGCATGGACGTCGTAATACTGATCACCGGCCAAAAAATCAACATCGCCTTCAGTGTTGAACCGCTCTTTGAGGGCCTTAACAACAACATTTGAGCCGCTCAATCGAAATATTCCTTCTTCCGATGCCGCATCCTTGGCTTTGAGATACTCTATGCAACGATAGACGACAGCCGGTAGATTGACGGCCACGCCCTGTGGGGCACAGAATTGGACAGCTTCAGCTAGAGGGATTCCAAATACCGGCCTCACGAAATCTCTTTTATCTCCTAAACTGTGTCCATGAGGCTGCGGTGTTGGAAGATCGTGGACGGCGTGAAGTTGCGAAGCAAGGTCAATAGATGATCTGGTACGGAAGCTCCATATGCTTCGTTTTTTCTCTTTGGCACTATTGGCTGCCTTGTTTCCCCAGGCACCGGCATCCTGGATCACTGCACCATTAGTGGGACGGGAAATGAATCGCGATGAGAGTTGATTGGGGTCCGGTGAAGGGTTCGCCACCTGATTCACATCCCCAAAATCTGCTGAGCCCCCGGGAGCAAGCAGAGGGGATACAGGGCTCTGTTCAGAGGCTGGTCCAAAGATTGGAGGCTCGGCGGGAACCGCGTCGTCGTAGCTAAACCCCTGAACCGTATCGGGACTTTCTGCACCAGCCGTATCAAGGCCCCTGTTCCCTTTCCTGCTTCCATTGGATGTGATATTAGGTGTGGTAGCAGAGTTGCTAACTGGTTGCTTGCTGATAATTGGCGTTTGCTCCTTTGAAGATCCGGGATTGGAACTTTCACTTTCCGATTGACTCTCGACGTATTCCAGGAGCGCCTCGACCCAAGTATCTCTGTCTTCGTCGCTCTCAGCGCACAAAACATGCCTGACGAGCGCAGAAGAGTCCTTCTTTTTGGGCTCCAGGACAAGAAAGGCATGACGATACTGATTGTCAACATCTTCCTCCGCTCGCGAAGGGGAGCTGTTTTGTCCATTTGCGTTCATTGATTGCTTTCCGATTTGGGCATTATAGATTTTGATAGTACCGAGGTGAGGACCACCTGGTGATTCAAAATACTTAAGCTCAGGACCATGGAGAACAAAATACCGTGCCTTCCAGCCGCCAAAGTTTTTGCCTCGTTTGGTCAAATAACCCTCTTTCCTGGGCTTCCCATCCGGACCACGCAGCATTTCGGAGCCGGCTTGTTGCTTGCCCTTCAGGAGGCTAGTTTCGTCATCCCGAGGTTCAATGGCGTCAGTGGTGAGAAATTGGCACAAAGCCAACGCTGCATTCTCATCCATGGGCGAATCGAGAAGAGCCTCGAAGTAAGAATTTAAAGCAGCACGCCGTGAGTCCACCTTGGCGGGGGAATGCCCGTTGAAAATGGAGCGATCGGGCAGCCTCGCACCAAAAGCCGAAAGCTGCTTGACTTGTTGGTCGAGCTGTGGGAGGGCTGCAATAACTTTTTCGACTCGCCAGAGCTCCGCATTGTCCGCGCGTGAGAAAACACCCAGGGTAAAAACAGGCTCCTCTTCGGAGGGTTTAGACATGTTGTAGCTGTTTCTCGAGGGTCGCAGCCGCGATGACGACACTTTTACCTGAACCAAAGGAAGGGCATTGGGGGACAGCAGAAGGTTCGGATAGTCTTCTGAGACCAGACCCTGATATATCTCTTGAGTTTTAAAGGCTGGCGACCTAGGGCTGTCAATTCGAACTGCGGCATCGATAGAGGGTACAGCACCTTTCCCGGAGTCAGAAGAAAGCGATGCGGGAACCGGCGAGGCGAAAGGGTTGTTATATTGAGCAGCTCGAGGGGACAGAGCCAAGCCAGAGACATTACCCCCGGATGATATGGGCATGGTGGCCAAAGGACCGGGCATCCTCGGTAACGGTGAGCCGAGAGGACGATCCTCCGGCCTGGGACTCATTGGTAGGCCAGGGCTTTTGACAGCCATCATGGCCGCATGAGAGCCCGGTGGTGACATATGGGCCACATGAGAATTCATCTCAAGCTGTTCCAATCGTGGTGCAGTTCGCGGCGAGTATTGGTGGGAGTCTACCATTCTTGCATCGACTGAATTACCAGTTGGGGTTTCAAGTGCGGATGTAGCCTGGGCTTTTTCTTTCCCCGCGGGAAATTCGAATGTGCCTTGTTCGCTTTGCACGGCCGTCTCGCGCTCACGATCATCGTCGTCCCTCGTTTTCCTTCGCCCCCGCTCGAACGACTGCTCGTCAACCGCCAATATATCCTCGTATTCAGATTCGGAGTCGGAAACATCCGGGCGGTCCACCAAACGGTGTTCTGGTAGACCAAGGTTCAATGGCGCCGGGGGCGGCTTTCGGACCGGGTGAGAGAGCCTCTGCTGTGATCCTTCGCCGGGTACTGAGTCCTTGGCAGTGTTGGGGCTTTCCAGACTTGGACTCGCGGTCGACAACTCTTGTCGCGAGAACACTAGCGACGGAGGTGTCTGCGACTCTCCGTTCTGATCCGCCAAGCTGCGAGACTCAACGAAGTCGGGTTGAGGTGATTGCTTCGCTATGGTATGGTGCAGATCCGTGGAGGGAATTTTTGAACCAGAGTCAGTTCCTCCCGTTAGAGCATAGTAATTCGATGCCTGTGACTGCCCGGCACCTCCCTGAATACCAGGCCCTTCTCTGCCTTTGGTGGATCTATCATGTTTTGTTTGTGCCTCCACCGATGGCACGGGTGGCGCTGAGTTCTGCAGGTCCTTAACCTTTTTCTTGTAACGTTCCTTATCTTTCAACGCACGGTCCAGGTCTTTGTTGAGTCCGAGAATAAGGGTGCGTTGCTTGTCAACCAGCCTCCAAAGCTGAGAATTTTGAGAAGCCGCATGGTGCTTCTCTTTCAAAAGATGTTTGATCACCGCCTCGGCAGATCCGGCAGTAGTTATTAGGTTTCCAATGTCTGTTTGACTTAACGCGCTTACATCGAACGAAGACTTATGGGATTGGGAAGCGGACGAGAGAGATGAGATGGCGGAATCAATCGAAGAAGTCCGAGGCATTATGCGCTGGCCCGGTCGCTCGCCTGGCGTCGATCGTTGGGAGTTCAGGGGTGAAATCGGGGAGGACGTCGTTGACAGGGTCGAGTCCGGGGTGCGTGAGGCGAGGCGCGCCTTGTTCTCGGCCGTCCGTCCGTTCATATCTCTATCATGCTGGTTAGGTCCATGTAACGGCCCCTTGGATGTGGTAGAGGAGATTTGGCGAGTACCAGATAGGGTAGCCGGGGATACAGCATGGGCTGTTTGTTTGGCTGAGAAAGGTCGGCTCTCGGCGTGAGAAAAAAGAGCGGAGGGGGGGAGGAAGGGAGGGGGAGGAAAAGAGCACCTTAGCGACGGCGCGCTCTTTGAGGAGAACGAGGCTGACCTCCGAGGGGGGGAAGAAGTTGGGAGGTTCGTATGAAGAAGGGGGAGGGGAAGGGAAGAACGAGACGGGGTTGCGGGGAGGGGGAGAGAGTCGCCGGGCGCAGCCCCCGAGTCGGAAGTCTGCGAGCCAAATCCAAAGCCAAGGGGCGCTGGGGGAAAGACAGGATGGTAATGAACAGAAGTCCCAGAGTTAACTGTGGATGTTGAAAGGACCATCACGTTGTCGCTAAAGATAAGATGGAACATGGTCTGTTCAGGAGCCACTGGCACAGCTCCATAATAATAAATAACAGCAGCAGCAGCCCGAAGAAATCAATCAATCAGCATTGAAAAGGACGCGGGTCCAAAAGTATGGACCGGCGCTAAATTCGACTGGCGCCAACCGCCCCCAGTTCTGTTCCAATTCCCAATTACCCCGGGCATCTGCAGAGTGCATTATACTATGTAGACATCCTGTTTCGTCATGAGAGATGAGATATATCATGCACATACACTAGCTTCGAGTACCCTAAGAATCCGCAACTATACAGAACACCTCCCTCTACCCTTTTAACACCGATGTGCCGCCCAAGGAAAACCAACCATTTGAAAAAAAAAAAGAAAAAAAAAAGAAAAGAAAAGAAAGGGGAGAAACAGGCGTCAGGTATATCAGCACCGGCTCTGTATCGCGACATAATGTACAGTACAGGTTCATGCTATGTTGCCAGCCATTCCCATGAAAATAGCCTGGGCCGCTAGCTGAAGAGACCAGAAACCAACTTTCTTGAACCGTCGCTTGCGTGCCTGGTCATCGACTACGTCTCGCGCAAATGCATCGTATACCTTTAAAAAGGGTCAGTCTTGTACCGAAGAAAAGGGGAAGGCAAGCCCAACTTACCGCCGCCGAAAGGTCATCCATCAAACCACTGTCAAAGGTGGTCCAGCTGCCATCGAAATCGCCAAGGCGCTTGACGAGGCGACAGTTGACGGGAATGAAAGTTCGCCGTGAATTGATGTACGCGACCATGGGGCGTATTAAGGCATTATTGATATAGGAAAGATCTCGTGTAAAAAGAGGCACAACCGCTCTAACGTTGTTCAAATGGAGCCGGAGGTCGGTGATCAAGAACCGTCTCTGATCGCTGGTCACGGTTTCGCCAGTCTGATCTGCGCTATGGGAGACCGAGTCGTCATACCGGTTGGACGTCACGGTGGCTTCCAGTCGATCGTATAGATCGGTCATTACCTTGGTTAGGCTTTCATCATTTTCGGCCGGGAACATGATGTCGGCAACAATATCGACTGTTCCTTCATGAATCCAGGAAAAGGGACCCTGTACCCCACGATTCAGATGGTCGATATTCAACCCGTCGATGCGAACCCTGCTATGTTTCTTCCAAGGATTTGGCTTGCCATCCCGGTCATCCTGGCCACCCAATCGGGCGCCCGTAAAACCGTGGGTTTGGCGAGGATGAATTGTGAACAAGGAATTGTCAAATGACCCGGACATCATATTAGCAGACATAAAATCATAGAAGAGCCACTGCTTTCTCAGCTGCGGGAGATCGCAGGAAAATATGCTAACGGAGAATGGTCTAAAATTGTCCGGCTGGTAAACCGAGACCAGGACATCATTCATCTTGAATGAATCGATCTCAAAGTCGCCAGGGTTGTGCTCATGCCGGTAGGATTTTGGGTCCAAGTCGACATTTGGCCAGTAGACATGCCTACGGTCCACCACACCCCGTAGCCCCTTCACTTCGACATCACGAAGAAGTCCTTTACCATTGAACCATTTCGTGAACGACAGGGTGACGTTGACGGTTTCGATCGACAAGTCGAACTGTGTGTAGTTCATATCTTCTTCTTCAGACAACGGTCGCTGTTCCGATACGTCGGAGCTAGGTTGTTCGTTGAGAGCCGCAGCTGCGGCCACAGCAGCAGCAGTCTTCGAGGAGCCTTTACTCACATGACCAGCACCCTGACCTGGCCGTCTGGAGACGAAAACGTTCTTGAAAGTGATGACACCGTCTCCCCACCGGGGTACAATTGCAGATTCAAACACTACCTTCACACCGGAGGATCTCGTCAGGTAATTTCCTACCCAACCGGCAAGGGTTTCTATCGGTCATCAGTAAAGTGCCCAGGCACAATTCAGCAGCGGAATTTGGGAACGTACCCTGAGCCATGACGGTGTTGATCGCAAGAATCAGCAAAGAGAAAAATGTCGTGGTCCCTAAGACAATCCATAGCACATGACCCAACAGCACCCACGAAAAAAGGGCCGTTATCTCGTCGAGATTGAAGGGTCGGACGCTCCGAATTGAGAACCACTTAAAACGTACTTTGAGCCTCGACCAGAAACCAGTGGCTGCGGCCAGGAGTTCCTCCTTTGTAGGTCGATGCAGCTGTGACATGTGAGGTAAACGGTCCATCAAATGTCGATTCGACGTGCCCCCTCGAGCCTGCTCATTAATGGCCTGCTTGGGCACTGAGCCATGCGACCGGACATCATTTTCACTGTTTTCTGGTATGTAGGACTCGCCGCCGTCAGGGCTTATAGAATCCTTCTGTGTTTTTGGTTTCGAATCATCCTTGGTGTGCAGTTCCCGCTTCGAGACAGTCTGCGCAAGTCCGCGAAAAAATTTTCGATCAAATTGATAGCTTCGGTGCGCAATTATTTTTTCCGGAGAGATCGCACAGGTTGTTCCCGTTTCTACCGCCGTCGAATTCGGAGAGAATCCAAGCACAAAAAAGCCTCCGGAAGCAAACCGCCTGGTGATTTGAGTCGTTCGCCGTGGTGGTATTGACGATATCCTTCGAAACTGTTGTTTGAGCAGAAAACTATGAACATAATTATTCAAATTCGCCGCGTCCGAGAAAAAAAGAGTACGACTTGTCTGTTGTCCCAGTCCAAAAAAAGGGCTTGTTGTTGCCCAAAAGTTGGAGTATAGCCTGCGTCCGAAATTGCCAGACATTATTGCCGTCACATACTGGATAACTGACAGTACATGAAGAGAAGGAAGTAGCAAGGGAGGGGAAGGTCGCTGTGATATTGATCAGAGAATGGGCTGATAAACGTCAAGGACAGAAGTTTAGACCAAGTTCCGATGTTCTTGGCGGCTAAGCTCTTGAACAAATTTCAATGAAATCATCCCGCGAGTAGTTTGTCCTGTTTGTCTCCCAGCTCCATACAGTACTATCGAGACTAGAGAGGGACAAATAGTCGAAACACTCCCCTCAAAAAAAAAAAAAAAAAAAAAAAAAAAAGATCCGTGTTACTTGATTTAGAACTCTGTGACATGTATTACGATTCCACTTCTGTGCAGGTAGGTACTCTGTTGCTCACGGCTGGCACAGGACGTTGATGCGATACGCTACTAGTGTTGCTATATGTATGCAGTTACATTCATCGGCTACAACAGGCTGGACTCACCAGATAGGACATTTTCACATGATATTTAAGGCAAGCGGACAGATCGAACTCATCGATGATATTGTTTCTTGGCCGACTACCGGGGAACAAAAAGGACGTGAAGAAAGAAACGGAGACAGGACATGATCAGGTCTAAAGCAAGCCCCCACCCCTAGTCCTTTTTCAATGGCGTGTAAACCTCCTCTATGCCCTGACTTGTGATAATAATCGTTTGGAGGCCATCTCCAACCTCGATATGCCTCTCCACCGCGCTGGTGAATGCATCTCGCACCAACTGTTCGGCCGTTTCTCTTGGTAGTGGCTCCGGCTTCCTTGCTTCGAGGGCATGTCCCGCTCCACTTCCAGGGATGTACTGGTTCTTGAAGTTGACCTGGTTATCCAAGAAGGGCATGATCAAGCTCGCTGCTGAGCCTGCCGCCCTGCATTGCTCTCTTTCGTAGGAACCGACGGGATCGTAGCTGTATAAGGCACCTTTGCCCTCCTCGTCAAGGCCGGCTAGAATAGCAGTCACGTAGTAGGGGAAGAATCGTTTCTGGTAAAGAATGGTCGACAAGCGCTGAGCACATGCCCCGACAGACATGGGCTTTCCGTGTTGGTACTTATACATCTTTACTACTGCATCCAGTCGTTCTTTGAGAGCTTGACCGTCTGCAGCGAAGCCCACAACCGAGAGGATGATATGAGCACCATCACCGGTCTCATCGTCACCACCGATCTTGAAAACCTTGGGAACGTAGCGAGAGTTGATGTTGTACCCTGCAACCGAACGGGTATCACCGGCGAGAATGGCGAAATCGGCGCCCGTGATGCCTAGAGTGGAACCACCATTATCCGTGTATCTTTAAGACAAATCAGCACCATGGAAATAGACCAGTCATTCCCAGAACTTCAATACGCACGGGTAAAAAGAATGCTGCTTGTTGCCTGCGGCAGCTGTATGGGGTTGAGAGAAGGAGTATCCAATCGCTCCGTTGTGAGGTTGGTGGCCCATTAATGACATCTTGTCCCTCGATAGCGTTTGGCAAAATAGATATCTAACGATGAATGTAGGACAGATGTTCGTTCAGGGAGAAGTAGAATGCGGGTTTGCGGGCGGGCAATGAAGACAATGTTCTGTGTAATTGAGTTAGTTGCGTTAATGGAGCTATTGCAGTCTGACGCGGACCTTCAGCTGCCTGGTGCTTACATAATCTGGAAGCTTCCACCTTCCGCCTTTTGAGACTGGGGCAGCTCGCCAGAGGTTGTAGCTCTTTGGAGATATCCAATTCTTCGAATCCGATCTTCCTGATCATATCTTCTAATCGATTTGCTAGTGAATTTATCAATTAACGCGCAAGCGAACCTCTCACAGCAGGTCGGGTCAATATCATCATTCATTCACAATCATGCTGGGTCTCGGAGCATACGATAGTAGCAGCGAAGACGAGATTGATGAGAAGCGCACTTCCTCACCAAAGGTACAGTGCGATGCTTAGAAACCTTAGTATGAGAATATGAGCTAATTTCCAAATTCTCTTTTCGCGTTTCCCAGCGTGAGTTAGAACACGATTCCGGCGCAACTAAGCCCGTCCCAGATACCGGTAGAGTATACCAGGCTGTATGGAGTCGGCGTATATCTGACCATCGATTTCAGCGCAAGTAACGCCAGATGTACCCCAGCCGGTATCATCTACGGAGTCAAATCCCCCAGGGCCAGTTCTCGGACCGTCCCATCAGGAGGCTCAACCTTCGAACCCCCGTTCTACACATGGGCAGGCGTCTCCATATTCAGCATCGCGCAACTTGGTCCATGATTTAACACTTCCTCCGGTACCAAGTCTAGATATCCCACCATCACCCCCTGGATCTCCCAATCCAACCGCGAACGCTAAATTCGCCCATTTTCTGGCATTGAAGAAGCAAGAGGTCCACTTTAATGAAAAGTTGGCCAGCTCAAGTTCACTCAAGAATCCAAGTCTACTGAAAAAGCTGATGGAGCATGCGGGCCTCGGCGAGGAGATGCAATATCACACTGCACTGTCCCGTGAATTATGGGACATGGATGGTCTTCCGGACTGGGGGTTCAAGGAAGAGCTGTTGAAGGCGCAGAAGGACATGCGCAACAACCTGGAAGAGCAAAGGGTTCAAGGCCAGAGAGATACGATTGACTTCGTGGCAGCGACCGCTTCGAATACCAAGAAACGATCAAGACCACACCCGTGAAAAATCATAAAGAGAAAGAAAAAGCGCCTGGTAATGTTCTTGCTCTTATATTAGTATGCCCTTTAGACTTGATAGCAGGATACATCGGAAAAATCACTTTAGCAAGGGCTGCAAGGCTATCGTACATAGAAAGGGAGTTCTCGCTAAGCGCGAAATGCACGCATTGATGATTAGCTCTCGTAGGCGCGGTGTCCGGGCCGCTAGTGGGCAATAGCGGGTGACTAACGTAACCAGAGCTCCGTCAGCTCTCACTGCCTAACTAGCAATACGTACCGTGCCTACTTTACACTGAACTGCCGTCGTTCCATTCTACTTCCACACTCTCCAAAGACTTGCTGCCATCGAGAACTTCACTTGTCTTTGGTGTCTTCGCATATTCCATACCCCACAGTCTATTCAGCATCTTACACCACACCTTGAACCGCAACTACCGTCATGAATCACTTTCCTGAAGTTTGGGGTCGAGTAAGATGAGCACCACGTCTATATACACCACGCCTCACTAACTCTCTGTCATAAGCCCAGGGATGATGTCTATGGCCCCTATAACCATTCGTACCTACAAACAACCGGCCCCAAAGCCCATACTCAGTCGCCTGCCGTGACCGGAACGTCAGTGATCGCAGTCAAATTTAATGGCGGCGTTGCGATTGCTGCTGATAACTTGGGTGCGCCCCTCAGACCCAATGCTCCTGCTTACAAGACTAATGTACTCTGTGTCCCTGATAGCTTCATACGGCTCTCTTGCCCGATTTTCCGATGTGAAACGTCTCCGGACGTTTGGCGATTCGGCCGTCGTTGGATTCAGTGGTGATGTGTCCGACATGCAGTACATTGACCGTCTCCTGGAATCAATCGACATCAGGGAGAATTATTCAACCCATGGCAATATGCTCAACGCCAAGAACCTCCACACTTACTTGTCCAAGGTGCTTTATAAGCGCCGCTCCGAGTTCAACCCGCTTTGGAACCACATCCTTGTGGCCGGATTCGATGGAGACAAGAAGCCGTTTCTCAGCTCGGCTGACTTGCTTGGAACTACCTTCTCAGCGCCGCACCTTGCCACCGGGTTTGGTGCTCATCTCGCTGTTCCGATCCTTCGTCGACTGTTCCCGGAAGAGAGGCCCACCGAAGAGATCAGCAAGGACGAGGCAGTGACCGCGCTGAGGGATTGCCTAAAGGTCCTCTGGTACCGAGATGCTCGGAGTATCGACAAGTATTCCCTCGCAGTGATTACGGGTGATGGTATTGAGATGCAGGAAGACCAGAAGATCGAAGAGCAGAGCTGGGCATTCGCAGAAGGCATCAAGGGATACGGAGCTCAGGTCAACTAGGTATCAATATTTTGTGTCTAGCGACAAGAATTTTATTAACAAGAGACAAATTACGTGCATGTTTGCTAGCATTGTGCTACCTCAAATTTATAGGACCAGCTCTTTCGTGAAGGGGGAGTAAAAAAGAGTGTCGTGACTTTGCAATGTCACCATGTCACCTGTATTTTCGTCAAGCCATGTAGCAGCGCTATTGATTACTCAGAGCTTTGGGGTGATATTGTCGAAGACCACCTGGTTTGAGCACGATCCCACTCGCTCGAGGGAAACTTCCACACGATCCCCGTCTTTGAGCCAAAGTGCCGGTTTTCGGCCCATACCCACACCTTGCGGGCTTCACCACAACCGTCAGTTTCGTTTCCAGAAAAAAAAAAAAAAAAAAAAAAAAAATTGAATAAAATTTAACATTGAAACGAGGGTAAGGACCAACTCACGTTCCGGTAAAAATCAGATCACCTGGCAACAGGGTGGTGCCCTGCGACAAGAACGAAACCGTCTTTGCCACACCAAAGATCATATCCTTGGTTGACGAAGATTGGACCGTGTGGCCATTGAGCTTCGTCGAGATATGCAAAGCATTCGGATCACGGATCAAGCTGGAAGACACAATGCCGGGACCGAAAGGTGCCCAGCCATCGAAGCCCTTCCCTAATGCCCACTGCCCTCCACCACGTTTGATCTGCCAGTCTCGGTGGGAAACATCATTGCCGACGGCGTACCCAAGCACATAGTCCAGTGCTTGATCCTCGGGGACGTCTCTGGCTTCCTTGCCGATCACAATCACCAGCTCGCATTCATAGTCCAGACCCTCGCCTTCTTGTGCCATGAGAGGGACGGGGATGTCGTCGGTCGGGCCTGAGATGGCCGTCACCGGCTTGTAGAAGAGTACAGGGTACTTGGGCGTGGGCAGGTTGGATTCTCTTGCATGTTGCTCGTAATTCAACCCCAAACAGCGAACAGTCCCAATATCGCCTCTCGCCAACGGGGCCAAGAGCAGTTTGACATCGGCGATCTGTTCTGTTACGCGATGCTGACCAAAGACGTCGCCTTGGACCACCCGGGCTTTAGTTACGCCGGTCAGGTCGGAAGCACCGGGGGGCAGGATGGCATCTCCGTAGTAAACATTGCCATCCCGAGCCAGAAAACGGATGAGACGCTGAGATGAGTGGAAGGAAGGAAGTTAGTTGTGATGTTGATCCAGTTGCTGGGCGATTGGAGTATCTATATACGGGCATCATGTCTAAAGTAAGAATGACATACCGAGAATTCCGGCATGTTTTCTCTTTAAATTGAGCAACAGAAGAGTACTTATGTTCAATTGATTGATCGGAATTGAGGAGAGATGAGCGAACCTACTTATCTACTGATGATGTGCGGAGTAACTACAGTAGACCTACGGAGTAGTCGCCTACTTGGGGGTCTCGGCCGGGAAAGCGTCGCCGCCTTTTCCTTTTCCCCGCAAAACCCGGCGACGGCCGGAGATCATCTCTCGAACTTCTCCAAACCACCCCCCTTCGAGGTAGACGGACTGATGGCGCGATTGTCGGGTCTCCAGAGAGAGGTGCTCTCCCTCTACCGAAAATGTCTCAGAGAGGTCCAGAAGAAGCCGGCGGTAAGTGGTTCCTCCCCCGCCTCGGCCACCTCGCACGCAGAGCATCTGGCTCACGAGCTAAACTCCCATTCCCAGGAGACCAGAGGTAACTTCAAAACATATGCCAGGTAATACCATCTATCTCCCTAGACTGTCCCGACGCTACCTACTAAATAATGGCAATTGGCTGCAGGGCGGAATTCCGCAAGCATCTGTCCGTGAACAAAAAGGACTTCAATGCGATAGAATATCTGCTACGGAAGGGACATCGTCAGGTTGAGATGTATTCGTCTCCCGGAATCCGGAACATCCAGTAACTGCATAGGTGCAAGGCGAGGGAAAAGACTGGAAGGTTCGCGCATCTTCCGGCGGCGAGTCCTCGCCGCGGGATTATCTAAGCGCGTCTCCGTCATCGCATCGAAGCTCCCAGATCCGTCGCGCAGCGTCCGCCCGCGACGAGGACCTGCCAGCGCATTCGATTGCTTACGGAGCTGTACTACACCATGGCAGTGCCATCGGCTTCTAGAATAGAACGTTGTCTGTATAAAAAGAATGATTCTGTTCCTTGATAGAGCTTTCTTCCCATCATCTCCAAGTCGCAGTCCCAATAACAACATCGGCCTTCCACTTGTTCGTCCTCATCTATACACCTTCTCCTAGAGTCCTCAACCTCTGTCATGGCTTTCTACCCTTGCTCTTCTAGTGGCTTCGCGCCCTTGTTCCACCTGCTCGATGATTACGATGTGCATCGTCCCAGAAGCCCCAAGTGCCGAGTGAGGCCCGTCCGCTCGTTCAGTCCTCGTTTCGACGTCTACGAGCAGGATGGCAGCTATCACCTGGACGGCGAACTGCCGGGCGTTGATCAGAATAACGTCGATATCGAATTCACCGACCCCCACACCCTAGTCATCAAGGGTCGAGTCGAACGTCAGTACAATAATGACACCGCGTCCGACGCCAACGAAGGCGGCGATGAGCCCGCCGATGACACCTCCTCCAGCAAGTCCCTTCAGCCCACGGTTGAAGACGAAGACGAACTGAACTCCTCGCCGACTCCTGAATCCTCGGTATCCACTGCCCACCTGGCTACCGCACCATGCAAGTCCAGCCCCCCCTACAAATACTGGGCGTCGGAGCGCTCCCTTGGTCAATATCACCGAACGTTCTCATTCCCAACCCGAGTGGATCAAGAAGCAGTTAGGGCAAGCTTGAGAAACGGAATTCTCTCGGTCATTGTACCCAAGGAGGCCGCTCCTAAGTTGAAGAAGATCCGGATCGAGTAGACGAAGAAGAATCATTTTGAACGTGTCTACTTGTCCCTAGGTTCTGCAGGGATCTAAGGCTGGCCTTCAATTTAATTTTTCTGGCGCACGTGTAGGGTACGGTTTCCGCATCAGTTGGCTATCTTTTCTTTCTTTTCTGCTTTTGTTCTCTACTTTCCCTCATACGGTCAGCATGTACGAATAGCTATGCCATTAGTATTAATGAATCTTGAAAGCTCTCACTTCATTGACCCTCTTCAAACGGCGGTAGATGCCTGCTGCTTAGACTTGATCATCTTAGTATGTAGCCCACAGAGTAAGCAAGATAGCAATTATATATCCATATGAATACTTCCCATGCCCGTCATGTTCCTGTAGTATGTGTGCGCACATGCGCTAAAAAAAAGCAGAAACTGAAATTGACTAGAAGTAAATAGCATTTGCCGGGCTTCACACTCGCGCCTCCGGCGTATACGGGGAATGAATGGCCATAACAAGGGACATGTCTTTGACTCGAGAGTACTTTTTGGCGCAAAACATCTAGCTGCGCATCGACTGTTTTCATATGATGGAAGGAAATATAACAAACGAAAATAAATGAGATATTCAACGATAGAAAATGGAAACACATCGAGTCATCGAAATGGGTATATCCATAGTTGCACCAAAACCCGCCTGAGCAACTATTGTGTCACCCCAACGCCAAGACAAATGATATAACGAGAGAATGAGAAGTCACAGATTCACAAGAAGAAAGGAAAGAAAGGAAAAGGAGGGAGGAAGAAAGAAAGAAAGGAAAAGGTCAGGCAAGGGAGGCATAAGCCATATACTATATATAGTGCTCAAATGATCAGTGAAAAACAGACGGAGAAGCGGCTGCATAAATGTTTGGACGCTTTTGCTGTTTGGACAACCTGCGACGTTGGTATTCAACACTCCGGCACCTCGGCCTCCCCCGGGGAGTGTCAACATAGCGTTCACTCTTGACTGATTGCGAGGTGCTTAGGGTTGCCATCGCAGGGTGCTTCTCAGCAGCCGCATCCGGGCATCGAATCTTGCTTGTCCGGCTGTAGAACCGTGGATGTTCGAGGCCACTTTCTTGTCCGGATCGGTTCTCGGATTCCGCTCTGGGAGTTCCAGTCATGGTAGGGTCCACGTAACCTGACTCGTTGGAAGCCTGAGGTCTCGTTTGAGAATTTCTCTCCCAACCGTGATCGAGATCAGACTCGACCTTATCACCCAAAGATTGTTGACCCGGCATTGCAACCAGCGCATCCAATCTGGCAGTACTTTGGCATTTCAACGATGCTGTCATTTCCGCAAAAGCGGATTCTTGACTGCGCAGATGGGCGCAGTATCGAGGAAGAGATTCCATTCGGGTTGAGGGCGGTGGACCTGTGTAGGATAGGCTCCTTACACGTCTATTCGATGGCTTTAGGGGCGGCTCGTGGCACATAGATGTTGACCAAACCCCGGGTTCAAATTTGCAATCCATCTTAGAATCCCGAAGCCGTGGGAGGAGGTACGCAGGACACGTGTTTCCGAACCCGAATAATTCCCCTATGTCTTGTCCACTAGCATCTCCTGCGTTCCCTCCAAAAGTAAACCTGCGATATCTGAGTGCCTGCCGTTGTGTAAAGGACTGGGAGTCAAACGATGATCCGGCGCGACTGGCTCGCAGGGACCGAACCGACGCTGTGGAACTGTAGCCGCTGTCGACCTTTTTATGTGATACTGACTGCCTCGTCTCCAACAGTGACCCGTGAATGGCCTTACCAAAGCGAGAAGGCAAGGGGCTTTGATGGTCAGAAGCAGGAGCTCCCTTGTCTTCGGGCTCTTTCTCGCCGAATGGAGAAAGCGTGGTTGTCGGTGACATTTCGTAGGAAAGGGGACTTGCTGGTGGCTCGTCGCAACTTCTATTGGGAGAAAATGGCTGAGTATGCAACGCATAACTTGGAGGAGCATTATTGCGCCGAGTAGTTAGACATTGCCGACCGAGCGAGGATCGATGGTCTGTTCGTCCAGCACCGTCATCGTGATGGTTAACGAATCCAGCATTATTGACGCCCCAAATCATACCGGGGTGGCCGTCTCCAGGAGTATTGGTGTTGTCAGGAACAGGTGCCGCACCTTTCGAGTTTTGGCGCTCGCCTAGAGTATCGCTTGGTCTTGTGTGATGCGTTTCGTCAGAACGGGCCTCTGGAGTGCGACTACGAGGTCCATTCAGCCGGGTCCGGTCGCTGGGGCATGGAGACGTGGAGGCGTTCACTACGCGCAATGACCCTAGCTTGAGAGCCCCCAAATGCGTGTACTCAAAATCGTTTGGCGTTGGCGGTCGTAGTTGGGAGAGTGAAAGTTGACGTCTCCAGTCGGTATCTTGCAACCGCGACGACGGTCGCTGCAGTGGACGCGAGGTCTCATTTACGGTAGTAGATGTGGTCGCTGGTTCTTGTTTGATTGGCGAGGGGCATCGCCGTGCAGCATCTTTCGTTGATCGCCTGGTAGCAATCCCGGGCCTCGTTAAGAGGGAACGTCGGCGGATCAAGGAAAACCCCTGGCTGTCAACGAGGAAATGGGTGTTGGAGGAAGTTGCTTCTTCGATACTGCTCGCGTTCACCGTACTCTTCGCTCTTCGTGGCGGCGATTGAACCGAGTAGGATCTTCTTGGTTGGATTGACGACGACGGCCCGCGTGAATGAGGCTCATTCAGTACCAGCGCAGGTTGGAAGGCAGGTTGCCGTGGAGGCTGAAACGAGGCTCGTCGTGATAGCGTGCCGGAGGTACTGAGACTGGCAGTCGGCGAAGATTGGACGCGGCAATCGTTTGGCTCTTTGGCACCGGAGTTGCTCCGCTTTGTCTTATTAGTTGACATCCATGGCGGGTCAGACTGCAGCGAGGCAGAAGCGGACGAGTGCGATCTTCGCCCCTTGGGCTCCGAATCCGAAGAAGCAATTGGGATGGAAGCCCCAGTCCACGGGTTTTGCCAAGAGGATGTTATCGGAGAGCTAGGACTAAGAGGTTGTCGAGGCGAATTGGCCGAGAGCGAAGCAGGTTTGCTGTTAGCAGGCGGTTTCGAGAGCCGGTTTGAGCGGCGGCGCTTGTCTCTACTTTGAATAGAGAAGAAGCTTCCCATGACTTGGAGGCAAAGTTGAAGCCCAAGCACAGAGACAGATCTTAAGGCCAACACAGGCCGCTCATGGACGTTTACCCAATAACGTCAAACTCAAATGGCATCTGATGTCGAGTACCGTCTTTGTGACCCGGACAAGACAAGTAAAGATATCAAGCCGAGGAAAACCGATCCCCTCCCCCAAACAGCTGTGACGCACAAGAAGAAGAAAGGAAGAAAGGAAGAAAGGAAGGAAGGAAGGAAGGCAGAATGAACGGCAATTAGGAGGAAGTCAAGGACAGCGAATTCAGATATCACCCGCAGGAACAGATCGAGACGGAATGCAAGAGATAGCTCCGAGAAAGAAGAGCGACAAGCGACGGTGGCAGCGGCGGATACCCAAATGCCATAAAAGACAGGATCAAGCTCAGGGGCGCATGGGGAAGCGCAACGGAAAACCCCAACTACATAAGAGAAGTGGGGAGAAGAGGAGGTAGGAACAGAGGGCGAGACAACCCAAGGCTGTGGCGGAGGATGCGACAGACACCGCAGTGACGAATGCGTATACGGGACGGAATTGGCACGAGCAGGAAGGCGATGGGGGGAGACCGACTGCGGTCGGGGGGCGAAGAAAGTTAAGATGGAAACCCGATTGACAAGGCCATTGTGGTATATGTGCCATGTAAAACAGCCATCCGGGTGGATATCCACGACATCAAGGCCGAATGCGGACAGATCGAGCGTTACATAGTTTATGCAGGTTGAGACGCCCAAGAAGGAAATGAACAAACAAGAAAATAGAGAAGGAAAAAGAAACGACTACCTAGCTAGATTGAGATGAAATGGAGAGAGCGCGGGAGATCAGTGGGCGAATTCGAAAAAGAAAAAGGAAGGATGAGAGGATGAGAGGACGAAAGGAAGAAAGGAAGACAGGAAGAAAAGGAAGGTAGGTAAGTGAGTGGTGTTGGTTGGAGATGAAACAGGTGGATGTGTAGGTATAGTAGTAGTACTGTAGTAGGTAGGTAAGTCTAGTAAGTATGGTACAGTCCCGCCATGCGGCTTGACCGGATCGGGACACGGATTGGCAGCGCCACGGGCGATCTAGTCCGGAAGAGCCCTAGCGGATGAACTAGTGAGTATTAGTACGGTACCTTACTTCAATGAATTGACGACCATCGATCTATAACCTGTACTCTCTAGGTATGTAGTGTAGTAACTAGGTCAGGTAGGTAGATACTACTAGAGTCTATGTCCTAGAGGATAGGTCACGTAGATCGGGACGGAATCTAGTTACCTAGGATGTACGGAGTACCTACCTACTTTACCTTACTCCGACAAGCTGCAAACGATCCCCAATCCGAGAACGGCTTAGTCGGAGTGGGCCCGAATCGGTGTGCAGCTGGCGGAGTCAGCGTCAATCGTCATGAATGCAACGTCCTGTCGGTCAGGTCAGTCTGGCTGTGTTTTACACCGCGTCTTCGCCCCCAGTCGCATGGCTGCCCCGTTCCTCCTCGCCTTTCCCTCCCTCTCGCCAGAGGACTTCCAACACGCCTGTCGCGCCTTTCTGGCCCGTGTTCACGCGGTGGGCACCTCAACCGTAGGCTGGTCGTCCATTCGGCTGACACACCCGGTATATCTTGCCCTCTCTCTTCTCCGTCATGACGTACGAGCAATCGACGGCCGGTAACCCCGTGAACTTGGTCTTCCCCTCCGTTCTAATTTGTCTATGCTCAGCCAGTTGGTCCGGTTCTCAAGATCTCGCGGAACATTGACCATGCCGGGATGCGTCAATGCGACACCGCAAGCCCCGTAGATCCCGAGGACACGCAACTGGAGGCTACCGAGGACGATCTTGTTCGTGACTTGTATCTCATTTCATTGCACACTCGGACTGTCTTCTGATAATTATCCCGCAGGAGGCCATCGTTCGCCCGTCCGACTCCAGCGCCGCTCTACAGGTAGATTATGAGATTCTCCTTTCTCCCACGTACCAAGTACCCGTTCTATACTTTATGCTGCGGCGGGGCAACCAGCCCGGTCCGATGGAGATAGACGCAGTCTACCATTACCTCGTAGCGGACCAGTACAGAGAGGAGCTTCAAGCAGTCGGTGTCATGGGCGGTATTAGTCTTGGTGTAGGTGCAGCGGACAACCGCACCCACCCCCCAGAATCCCTTCTCCCGTGTGCAAGCGCTCATATTTCCGTAGTACCACCCACAGTCCAATACCCCCATTTTTTTCGTCCATCCATGCAACACGCCAGATGCGATGAGACAGATCGCGGGGCATCAGAACGTTACGCCCGAGGCATATCTCATTATCTGGTTTGGGTTGATAGGCAATCACCTTGGTCTCCATTTGCCAAGTGAGCTCTTGAAGGATAGAGAGCAATGAGCAAGCACAAATCCCTAGACATAGCATTGAGTGACTTGAAGCAGACCATCTTAGGGAGTGGCCCCACTCCTTCCTCCAATTCTCTCCCACCCCTTTCCCGGGTTTACGTCGGCTCGGTGATCATAGTTCCCCATGATGAAGACAGTCTAGTCTTCATCCGATGAGGCTTCCATCGGGACATCGCTGTCCTCATCCATCGGCGCTTCTCCCCCATCGCTCTCCTCCTCGCGAGGCCGTTTGACTCCTTGCGTTGCCTGGGGTTCGCCGTTGACCTCCCCGGTAGGTTTCGGCGGTAGCGCCGCTGACCCGGGAGGTCCGCTGAAGATCGACTTCTGGAGATCGGAGGAGGTGGCTCCGGATTGCGCTCCAGATGGTGCCAGACTGTATGTCCCGCGAAGCCTGGCAATCACATCCGAAGTGCCCTTCGCATAAACAATTTTCTATAACTCCGGAATCAGTGGATAATCGCGATAAATTTGGGGCCAACGTGTGGAGCTTACCATCTGTTTGCCAAAAAATTCGAACCCCTGAAGCGCACGCATTGCTTGCGTACTGGCCTGGACATCCTTGAACACGATATGAGCCTGCCCGCGCATCTTCTTGGTCTTCATGGCCACCACATCTAGAACGGTCCCGTAGGTGGAAAAGAGGGTATAGAGTGAGAGGCGTAGGTCATATTTGTGTAGCTTGTCTGGAAGATTGGTACAGTATAGCCTAGAAATCAATCAGAATCTCCGATACTGGGCATTTTTCTTTTTCTGGCCGAAGGAAGGAAAACTGACGTTTGATTCGGGACGCCGGAGGGAGCAGGTTTACCCTGACGCGCCGTGAGAGTGGCAGTTGAGGACATTGCTTCTGTGGGGGGAGGGGGGAGGAAGTGGAGGTCTGGGAGTCGAGAGGTAGTAGTAGTAAGTGTTTTTCTGCCCCTGGTCAAATGGAGCTTCTCGGCCTTCTCGCCTTGCTGCGCTCTGCCAAGGGCCCGGGAGTCGTGAGCCGCTAAGTCACGTGAGAGCTGGCATAATGGCATCCCGCGTCATCGGTGGTCCCCTCGGGCCTGGGAGCCCTTCCCCCCGGTTCAGCACTTACGCATTGATAAACACTTGCAACCTAACCATTGTCCTCTCCTGCCCCTTTTTCTTTCCTGCTGAACGGTAGTAGAGAGCTGCTCCTACCATCTACATCACAATGTCTGTCCCGGAAGTCCACCATCTGTTTCACAACCCAATCGCCGACCACTCCTTTTCGTCGGATAAGAACACCCTCGCGGTTGCGCGGGACAACAACGTGGAGCTCTATTCGAGAGGAGGGAACAAGTTCTCACTAACCGATGAGCTGAAGGGCCATGAAAAAATCGTCACGGGCGTTGACATCGCGCCTAACAGTGGCCGCATCGTTACTTGCTCGCAGGGTTAGTTCCACGTACACTTCTCCGAAGCGCCGTTGCCTAGCTTACCCCCCTCATACAGACCGTAACGCTTACGTTTGGGAACGAACGGCCTCGGGCTGGAAGCCGACTCTGGTCCTTCTTCGAATCAACCGGGCCGCGACATTTGTGCGCTGGTCTCCATCTGAACAGAAATTTGCTGTCGGCTCGGGGGCCCGTGTGATTGCGGTGTGCTATTTCGAGGAGGAAAACGACTGGTGGATCTCAAAGCACCTGAAGAAGCCTATTCGAAGCACCATCACGACGCTGGCCTGGCACCCGAACTCCGTTCTGCTCGCTGCCGGATCCACCGACTCGCACGCCCGGGTTCTCTCGAGTTATATCAAGGGCGTTGACACGCGGCCCGAACCCAGTGCCTGGGGAGAGCGTCTCCCGTTCAACACCATCTGTGGAGAATTCCTGAATGACTCCGCGGGGTGGATTCACGGAGTGTGCTTTTCCCCGAGTGGAAATGCGCTTGCTTTCACCGGACACGACAGCAGCGTTACGGTTGTTTACCCGAGTGCACCGGAGCAACCCCCTCGGGCGATGTTGAACATCACCACCCGCCTCTTGCCATTCAACAGCTTGATCTGGAATGGAGAGGAAGAGATCATTGCTGCAGGTCACGTAAGACTACCTTATCCAGTTGTCGATGGCATTTCTTGCACACCTACTAACCAACGTCCCTGGCCCCAGGATTGCGAGCCGTATCGTTTCCGCGGTAACGAGAGCGGATGGCAGTATGTCGGAACCATTGAAAACAAGGCAGGACCCGGCGCCGGGAGCGTCCGAGAGGAGTCTGCCCTGAACATGTTCCGTCAGATGGATCTCAAGGGACAAACTCAAGTTGACACGCAGCTCAAATCTGTTCACCAGAATACCATCAGCACGGTCCGGGTCTACGAAGAAGACGGCGGGGCTGTCCAGAAGTTTAGCAGTAAGTCACAGGCCCTCCTCCCATCTTGCTGTACTGGTTATTTTTAGAGCCAGCAAGGGATGGCTTTAGGCTAATTGTGGGAACACAGCCAGCGGAGTTGATGGTCGGGTGGTTGTTTGGAGCATCTAATGGAGTACCTCAGGTAGCCTACACCGTGTGTAAAGTCTGTCATAAATCAACGCAAAACAAACTAGTCACCAACATCTGATTAGCTGTGACGTAGCTCTGGTGAAGTTCAACTGACGTACGCCGTTTGGGGAATTCTGATTCATAAGAACCTTACAAGGGTCACTGTATTTGAACCACCATTAGCATATAAACCCCGATAAGAGCATAGTGAAGCTTGGCCGGTGGACTTACCGACCCCCTTCACACAGAAGTGCTGCCTCGATGAATAGAGAGCATGCTACAGAATGACGTAGGGGTGCACATGTGATGCCAAGACCATCCCTGGTCACCCGGGAAATTCAACTTGCAGCATCACGAGTTCCTTTCACGCTCCCAAAGAATAGGAGAAAAGAAGGTGAAGTAATGCCCACAATGCCGACGAGAGGACCCGGCTTCTACCACAACCATGGCTTTTGACCACTTCTGGACGCTCTTGCTTGCTTGGATATACCTCCCTTGGCTGTGTCGCGCCACTTCACTCCCCGATGCTCGAGAGCATCCCGGCGAATTCAATCGCGTCGTTTCCCCCGTCGTTTTCGCCTCCCTGGAAGAACTCGCACGTGTCATTGATGTGTCCTACTGCGTTGGGAACACGGGGATACGGAAGCCTTTCGAATGTTTAAGCCACTGTGCTGAACTCCGCGGATTCGAGCTGATCGCCGTAAGTTCATGGTTTATAGGTCTCCCTGTTCTCCTCTCCTCTACTTCAACTTGGGCACGAATACTAATGTAACCCTCGTGCTCGTCCTGATAGTCGTGGAATACGGGGCCTCTACTCTCCGACTCCTGTGGGTACGTTGCGCTCTCCCACGCCCCCTCGCCGCAACGCATCGTGGTGGCCTTCCGCGGCACCTACTCCGTGGCAAACACCATCGTCGACTTGTCGGCTTACCCGCAGGCCTACGTTCCCTACGGCGCCGGGGATGGGCCCGGAGGAGGCGAGCAGCCCCCGCGCTGTCGGAATTGCACGGTCCACGCCGGGTTCATGACCTCGTGGCAGAACACTCGCGATACCGTCCTGCCGCACGTCGCCGCCGCCAGAGAGCGATTCCCGGAGTACGAGCTGGTCCTGGTCGGCCACTCGCTTGGCGGGGCGGTTGCCGCGCTGGCCGGGCTCGAGATGCGGCTCCGCGGCTGGGACCCGCAGGTGACCACCTTTGGGGAGCCGATGGTCGGAAACGGGGGCTTTGTCCGCTTCCTCGACGCTGCCTTTGGCTTCGACGACGCCGGACGGGGGTCTGATGATCGACAGTGGCGGTTTCGCAGGGTCACCCACGCGCGTGATCCCGTGCCTCTCCTGCCTCTGGCGGAATGGGGGTACGAGATGCACGCCGGCGAGATGTTTATTTCGAAGGTGGACCTGTCGCCGTCGCGATTGGATGTGGCACTCTGTAAGGGCCGTAACGATAGCCGGTGTATATCTGGATCACGGGCTGTTCAGGAACCTGCGCTACGTGAGATGAGGTCCCTTCTCACGGCGGGCCTACGACAGCCGGACTGGGTGTATCCGGCGGGCCAGGCAGTGCTGAGGCCGCCGACCCCAGGAGTTCGTGAGGCGGCGGTATCCCAGCAACATCAGGAACCGCAGCAGTTGCCATTCCACTGGCCGTGGGATCGCGTCCCCATCAGGTATCGGTTATGGGAGCTGTTCTTCGCCCATCGGGACTATTTCTGGCGCCTTGGCCTTTGCGTTCCCGGTGGGGATCCGACTGGGACGGGATAGGCCCGAGACTCTATGGTGAACTCTCTCTCTCTCTCTCTCTCTCTCTTTTGTTTACTCTCGACGACCACCCCATCCCAGGTGACTGGTCCGTGAGTCACGTAGCATGCGCTATGATGTAGGAGGACAGTAACATGTCCTCGTTATCCTTGTTTCGCGGCTAGCAGACTCTGTTCGAGTACGTCATGCTGAATTCTACCCTCGTCACGTTGTGGCAGTGGCGGCAAGGCATGGGCTGCATGGATAGAGTCCCGATTTACTCCGTAGCTTTGGTTTTGGAAACGAATGCAAGGGCTCTTCTCCACCAAACTGTGCGGCTGCAGATACTATGCATGTACTGTACCTACCATCGCCTCCTAACTGGCGGTGTCGATCCATTAGTCAAAGCTTATCCAAGTACGTGGGCAAACGCGCTTAGTTTCAATGCTGCATTCATACTACTCGCAGGTGAAATTCAACCTATGGGTGGTGAACTTGAAAATTGAAATCAATCAAGATATGTAGCTAATATCCATCTCTCCCAAATTGTACATTCAGAAAGAAAGAAAGAAAGAAAACCTCAATTACAGGTTTATGAAGAATGCAGGCAAAACAAGGACAAAAAAAGAGAAGAGAAGGAACGAAACAAGACTAGAAATCGCATTCAGGGAAGGAGGAAGAAGAGAAGGCGATAAACGAGACGGCGAACTCCCCAACGATTTCATTTGCCGTGCTCCAGGTTGGGAACAATGACCGGACCGTACTTGACTACGGCGCCATACGTGCCTTCGCCCTGGATCATGAAATCGACAGCAAGGTTAAGCTTACGGCCCCCAAATCCGACTGCGTGCTGGTTATACATTGGATTGACGGCATCGGGATCGTAGGCCACTATGGCAGCATAATTTCGACGACCCATCAATTTCCGATGCTCCCGAGATTGGCCGTTCACGTCAGATTGAAAGATCTCCATCATATCCTCCTTGGTATCGGTAGGTTGTGAAGGCGTGGAGCGGTGGCCGTTGGCAGGAACGTAGAGAGGTTTATGGCTACCGTGGAGGAGTTTGATGACATACGAAGGGGGAGGACTGTTCACCACGGCCGAGGAGATGATTTGATACATCGTCTTGTGGTCGGAGGGATGCGCAGGGTCGTGCACCAAACCCGCGCCGCAGACGTTCACCGCGCCGGACAGGAAGGTCATGCGCAGAGCCTTCTGATGTGCAATTCCCTGCAGAGTGCGGATGAAGTAGGTCCGCTCAAGGTCCTGTACATGGAGGGTCAGCAAGAATGATGACAAGTTTGGCTGAAGAGATGGGATCTACGCACCTTGGATTCATGCGTCCACTGATCTCGAAGCTCGTCAAGCACGTCGAATTCCCCAAATGGGCTTAGAATACCACCCATGAGCCCGGACTTCCCCACGGCACGCTTGACCGAATCGAATCCCGAGCCTACCATATCCTTTGCGCCGACCACACCGGCCACAGAGCTGGTTACCTTCCCCAGGACATTATACGCCCCCGTAACCGCCCGCTTGCCGGTAGCAACCGTATGGGCGATATGCTCGGCCGTCTCCAAACGGGGATAGATGATAGGCAGCGAGATCATCCACAGACAATGTTGTACGGATGGTGGTAGCATTGCGACCTTGGGAAATATACCCTGGTACGTGGGCCCAGCCACAACTTGGTGAGGGTTTCTTTCTGATCGACAATCGAGACCGACAACGACGACCGCTGGCCCGAGGTACTTGACAAAATGCCAGCCGGTTCCGGTGATGGTGAACAAGTCGGTGTCCGTACTGACATTGCGGAGCAGCTCCAAGGTCGTATGGTGTTGAAAGAGAAGATACATTTCTATTCCAATTCGACCTATATTCTTGAACATATTTGAGAACTGCATGTGCTCGGGATAAGACCCAAACCCATCAAATCTTGTTTTTGGGGGGGAGGCCTATCATTAGCCTCGGCTTCCATAATGGTGCAGACATGAGGTTGAGGTTGGGTGAATAAAATTAGGAATGGGGCTCTTACATGTCGTGGTCATCGATTTGGCAGACATAAGGAACCTGTGCGAACGATTCCCTCAGGTATGGCTGGTCAAAGTGGCTAGTGTAGTAGTGGAAGTACGCATGAGAAACATCCTCCTCGTGGGCAGCAGTCCAAGACGCGTTTTTTCTTGCGTCCTTGCCCTTGACTGTAAGCCACTGTTTGAGTGATGGTATCTCCTTCCACATCCGATCTGCATAGATCTGGCCTCCAAGAGACAGTTGTGCGTGGAAGCCTCCGATCTCAATGTGTTTCTGCATGATGTCTTTCCACATTAAACCTGCTCCACCCAGGCGGGATCTCTCATTTGCATTCACGTTGAGCGAGAAGTCATTTCCAGATGTCGTGATCAAACGCCAGTTAGTCTCATATCGCCCCGCCACCAGAAACTCGTAGCGGGTACACCCCAGGTGGGAGGTAATGGCGTAGGTCCACTTCGCAGGGCCCGAGTCGTCCATCTGACAGTCAACGTCATACTTGTAAAAGGTCCACCGCTGATGGACGGAAATGGCAAGCGGCTTCAGTTGCCGGGGATTGGGAGAAAGATCAACACTTTGGTGCATGTGAATTGTCGGCGGCTGCCCGGCATCGGTGACCAGCAAAATCGAGCCGAGCCAAACACCACGCTCCACGTCCATATTCGTATAGCGAAGATACGGGCCAAAATATACGCCATTGGTTGGCGCTACCTTATACAAATCGACACCGCTGCTTGGGGGTGGGCCAGTGAATCCGGCCACCACGGGGGATTGCAAGCTCTCGTATCCCGGAGTCATAGGGAGACCAGGCGATGTCAGAGGCTTGCTAAAGGCCGACAAGCCGGGCGACGTTAGAGGGTGACTGCTGTAAACGCTTCCAGTCGGGGACAACGGCGTCTCGTTTAGGTTCAGTGGTGTGGGACCCTTGGGGAATTCCCACTGGGTTGACTGCGTAGGAAGATGGATGTAGTAGTACTGTCCCGAGTTAGGGTCCAAGTGGGCAATCCACCCCTCCGGAAGCGGCGGAGGTGATGCTGGTGGGATTCCTGAAGGAGTCGGCGATGCATTGACTTGGGTCTGTTGAATCGTCGACTGATGACCATTTTGCGCTCCTGGCGTTTCCTGCGCAATGTCGTCTGTTAGGGATTGCCCAGGCGGCTGCTGCTGCTGCTGCTGTTGGTGTCGCATATCATTGGCAAAAGCCGGGTGATCCTGTGCCGAAGATGGCGGGGCAGACGCAGGCGCTGCACCCTCTGCGGGAGTTATTGTTGCAGGATGCACTGCGGATGGGACTGGCTGGCTGGTCGACGCAGGTGGACGGCGCTTTTCGTTTGGGTATCCCTGGACGGCGGCCGGTCCGGGTACACTTGAGTAGGCAGGGGGAGGGGAGGAACTGATGCGCATCCGCTCCAGGTCTTGCTCCAGAGCATTCGGAGGGATCCTCGAGGGCTGCTGGACCTCGAAGGCCTGCGATGGAGTTGTAGTTGGCTGAGGCGTATAGGAATGGGCTGGAGGACTTTCCGTAGAGACGACCCCAGCGCCCTGATAGACGGTTGGCGGTCCATGCGGCTGGGACCCCGGCTGCTCTGTAGGCGTCCATGGCCTCTGGAATGGCGGTTGGGTCCTCGGTTGCTGGCCTGCATACTGTTCTGCTCTGCTCTGAGCGGCAGCGCTCTGAGCCTTCAGCCCAGTCAGCGTCGACGTACCCGCGATGCCGGAGGCGGCATAGCGAGCTTCGATGTCGGATCCCGGCTGTTGACCGGGCTCGAAAATCGGTGTTTCCGGCGGCGGGGGCGACCCTCTCTGGGCGCGCGTCGTAGAGGTCGACGCTGTCGAGCTAATTCGATTAATGGCGCTGTTCGGAGGTTGCAGGTGCTGCGCCGGTGCCGGTCTCAATGAGTGTCCGGGCAAAGCCTCCGGCTGAGGAGGCGGCCAATACGCCTGTCGGTAATCTTGGTAGGCCTCGCCATCGCCCTGATTCCCGTTCACGGGGGGCGGCGGTATTTGGGTCTGGTGGTAACTCCGGCTAAACAATCCGTCTCTCTCGGGTGGTGCATCCCCTGCGGGGGACTCTGGCAATGGCTTCGGCGCATTTCCGCGTCGCTCAGCCAGGGTTACCTGCTTAGGCTCGCGACCGAGAGACGGTCGCAACGCTGCCGGATATTCGGGCTGGGGTGTGCCGGAGCCAGCCGGCATCGCCGTTATGCTATTCACCGGCGTGGTGGAGGAGCCGCCCAGCCGCCCACTTTCGGTCGTCGGGCTTGGGCTGTGCCTTTGCTGGAACCGCAGTCGGTCATCCGGGTAAGGAAGAGGCGCACTTTGCGGGGCGGGCGACGGCGTGTCTCTTTTGCTGATCCGAAGCGGTCCAACCACGGGTGATTCGACAGGCGGTCTCCCCGAGGAGTTTCCGAGAAATAATTCCTCCTGCGAGCGACTGCCCTGACGACTGCCGCTGGAATCCATCTTCGGTCCTAGTCTAATCGACTGAAGAGGGGGGAGTATAGTAAGGTTAGAAAAGATGGGCGAAACAGCGCAAAGAACGACGGCGACAGGTATTGCGCGACCAGAGAATGGTCTCTCGACGGGGATCGAGGGAGGGGGAGAACGAACAGATGCGGGGAGTCTTAGCTACTCCGTAAGTATGCAACAAGTCGGTCGAGGGTTCCAAGGTAAGCAGAGCAGGGCACGGCAGGACAGAAAGCCAAAGGAAGAATTCAAAGGACCCCCAGCCTTCGCCGAAGGACACGCAGTCGAGTTCAGGAGAAGAGAGAGAAGGGGTTCGTCGCGTCGTCACATCCTATGGCATGGACATCCTCATCCCACTCCCGATTAGCCGCCGGCCCTTGTGCAGTACTAGACGCTTCTCCATCATCATTGGCTCAACAGCGACCCAACAGACTTGGCGCCACCGTTGGAGGGGCAGATAGACGGACGGCGAATGACAGAAATTCGCTGCCTGGAGCGAGGTGTGATGAAATCGCAATTGATGGCGATAGGATGGTGGATCAGAAAAAGGATCGGCCCGCCGGCGGCAGACCAAAGAAAAGGAAGCCACGTCTCGTTGCCTGAGGCCACCTGAGGCCAGATTCATGTACACATACACGTTATTTACACATGTCTTCATAGATATCGGTTCTATAGATCCCCATGTTCTCATCATTTATCTCAGCATACTCGCTCAGCCATCAGCTCAATCCAGTTGACCGACGGGGCCGCCCCAGGCCCACCCCGGGTTTGCTGCATCTGTCGCTCGTACACCAATTGCAGTTGATGGCAGGTTGAAGATGCATGGTACCCCAGCTCTTCTTCCTCCAGGCTTGAAAGCAACTCCCATGCCCGTATCTTGAGTCCACTAGACGTCACGGCGGTGCCCGCTAGAAAGACGGGGAAGATAATGATATGCCGATGACTTTCCCGGGCCCCATGACCCAGACCCTCGGCCAGCTCAAGCACCATGGCTGCGTGGTGCTGTATCTCCTCTTGCTCATCCTCTGCCGCAAGGCGCTGTTCGGGCCCGAGGCCGATAAAGGAGAAAAGGAAGGAGGTGTGAAACAGGAACAGGGTCTAATGAGATATTAGTTCTAGACTTGCATGATCTCCAGTGTCCTAGTCCTACCTGTTTCAGAAGATATTGAAATTGCTTTCGGAGAATATGGCGGTTATCTATCAAAAAGCGCATCTCAGGGGAGAACCAAAGACCGCGGAGTTGGTTGCGCAGCTCCTCAGCACCTTGTCGTCCGCTCACATGCGTGTTCGGGTACGACACCGGGTGTTTTCTTAAATCGGCCGCATAGAGCCCTGATCGCACGGTGAGCATCAGGACCTCACGATGCAAGCAAGATATCATGAATAGATTGTCTCGCTCTTCGGGATAGAGCAAGCACGACGTCTCGGAGAGGGCAGGACAGAAGAAGGAGTCGGCGCTGGGAAGCAAGTGACCTTCGATGACTGCTTTGACAAACTCTCCTGCCCCCGTGCCACCGAGAAGGCTGTACGCATCAATATAGCAAACCCACCAGAGTATGAAAGAATACTTTTCAATCCCATAGGTTGTCTGCCGTACATGCGCTATGTGTAGCAACCGCGAGGTGACGTATGACTGTACATGCAACCCGTCGAGATTTGCCGCCGCAACCTATTCACCAGAAAGTCAGTTCGTCCGTGACAGGGGCCCGCTTATCAGTGGCAATATTCTGGGGCCTGACCTCAAAGACAAGTAGCAAAAAATGCGTAAACAAAACCTCGTCTGACAACATATCGTCATCCCCGGAAGGTTCGGCTTGCACGGCAGCCAAGGCTCGGTGGTAGTATTGCAAGGCGTCCATATTGTGGCCATTCCCTTGACGGGACAAACTAAGTGCAGATATTGCTAGCATTGCATAGTATAGCTGCAGGCATGGCCCATTAGATCTTTGTGCAGCACAGCGGTATAGACAGAATTCCACGTACGCGAGGAGACCTCGTCGCTTCTTGCTCGAATACTTCCGAGCCTAACCTATAACTGCCGCTCGGACAATCAATCATGGTCATCTCGGGGATCAATTGCGCCCACGCCACGTCACTGAAATGTCGAAGTAATAAACCATCACGATTCTCTGGCTCTGACCACCCATGTGGATTGTCATGCGCAAGGGCCTGAACGCTTGACGTGGTGGATGGGGCCCGAATTGGAGAGCTCTGAGAGTCGGATTCTAGGGGCTGCGCTGAGAATTTGCGGTTGGTCGGCGATGGTCTTCGCGTGTCTCGGAAGGTTTTTAAAATCACCACGTTTGGGTCTTCACCAGCGGATTTAGGGGGGGATTGGCTTGTTTCGCCGTGGATGAGAAGAGGATATGACACCTGATCACTTTCACCGTAAGGGGTGCCCTCCGTGTACTCCGGGAGGTCAGCGAAACTCTCTGGGATCACGACAACATGATACGTCCCGGGAATAGAAGCTTCTGCTTTTCTTTCCCGATCCTCATCCGAGGTGAGCTTTTCAAACGAGGGCAAGCGATCACCTGAACCAGCTCTGGGGCTTTTATGAGTCCGGGGTACTTCGGCTGTCAACGCATGCATGAGCATCGAGTATGGCCAACCTGGAGGATAATGGACACTCACCATCCCAGACTATGTTACCTGTTGTCTCAACTTCCGACATTCGCTCCATGATTCGGCGCGTATCATCGCGAAAGCATAGACGCGGTCGATAGTCGCAATTGTGACCCAACCGGGTACATTGCTAATGTACCGATCAGTGAACGACTTTTTGACGTTTCTCGACGAGGAGAGGACAGGTCTCTTAGTACATTACATTGAGGGTGACTTTCATCACATTTCACTAATGGCTGATTAGATGACTGCTGAGGGAAGGAAGAAAATCAAGACCACCATACCTTTACGGCTCTACCATGACAGACATACACGTTAGCACGCTGCAGCCTGCAGGTCATGAACGACGTCGGTTTAGAGAAAATGATAGCTCACTCTGCAAGTCCTAAAAGGGATAAGAACCAGAAATCAGCATCCGATATAGTCGGCGGAAAACCGACCGAGGAAACGCACCAGCAACCAGTTCTTGACCGCGGCGGGAATCGTACGCGCGGTCGAGAAACCTTTGTTCGCGCGGGATCTGGGAGACCAAGACTGAAGCTTGCCGTATCATCTTTAGGGGCAATAATAGGCAACCAAAGCGGCCGCTTTCTTGATGAACTGCCTCTTCGCGTAGATTTGACCAAACTGACGATCGGCATGATCGTTATCGGCTTTCCTCTGTAGTTCATTGAGCATGAAAAATCCGTACAAGTAGGAAGACAATGGATCTCTCTTACTAGGCCCTGATGAATCCAAGTTTGGATATGGCGTGCTTTCCACGATATGTAGATTGGCTTCGTCTGAGAATAGAATAGTAGAGAAGCTCATAAAGTAGAAGGGGACCCAAGAGAAGAAGGAGGGAATTATAAAGGATGACAAGGCGTGAAAGGATTAGGACGAAAACTGTAGGATATACATTTCTAGCAGCTAAAGGAGGCGCAGGCGTTACAAAAAAGGGAAAAGGGTTGAAAAAAAGAAACGAAAAGAAACAATAAAAAAAAGGGCGGGTGAGAAGAAGACAGGGGAAGAAATCTATATACGGATACAGGTACCGGGGGCAGACACCGAGTTTCCCCCAGAGGTTTTCTTAGGGGGAAAAAAAGACAGAAAATAAAAAATCCAATAAAATAAAGTAAAATAAAGTAAAGTCAAAAGCAGGAGCGGGAAAAGGGTGTTCGCGCCAACAGTTCAGCTCGCCCTTGTCGCTGGTGGCGGTCGTTCAGGTACCTTAAGGCACGAAAAGGTGAAGGCGACACAAGCGAATCGGGAGGGCGAGGGCAACTTCCATTTGGGCCGTCCATGGTTTGTTTGTCTCTCGGAGGGAGGAAGTGGATGATTAGGTGTAGACAGGTACCTAGATGGTGTAGATACAGCACAACAACGATCAGAGTGATTATTGACTATTGACTATGGAATATGAACGATGAATACAGGCGATGCAGATGCCAACCATGTGGGAGGGATCGGGAGTCCCCGAGAGCAGCGGAAGAATATTAATCTCCAGCGAGGGTGGGATGGTAGGAGGATGACTGCAGAAGTGCATCGGGAGTCGTGACTGGGCAGGTTTCGTGCGGACATTCGGGCCCCGGTCAGGTGACTGACGGTAGCGCCCTCCGGGTCCGAGACTGGCAGGTGCTGGTCTGGAGTCTGGACGGACTTCACGTATTCTTCCCTCCGTCTTATTCGAACTAGCTACTTTTAAGGTCCCGGACTAAACTAGCAGGAACCACCCACCCATCGCACGCTAAGCCCCTCCAGTCACGCCGTCCTTTGCAGACTCGCCTGGACCGGTCTGGCCTTCCAACCCTATCTGTGCTTCTGTTGCTTCTGTTACAAGAGACACTTATCATCCATTATCAGGCTAGTTCAGCGGCGCCCGCCTTTCAAATGCTCGACCGGCCACCCCGTGTCGATGTGTGTTTGCGCACCGCCAATGAAAACCCCCTCATCGTCTCGCAAAAAGTACACTTACACCGATCGATCCCTGTCGGATGGTTCGTTCTCCCTCCCTGACTCGCAGTCGCCTTCCGGGTTCCTGACAATCGCCACGTTACATTTGATTGGGTTTCTTAGTTCCTCCCCCCGCCAGCTGTCCTCTGCTTCGCCCCTCCTCTCCCTCCCTCTCTCTCCGGATACAAGTCCTCCCAATTTTCAGTCCCCCGCAACGCGTATAATCCCGCTTAGACCTCATGGCGACATGAGTTTTCGCAGTGTCTGATCTAATATCTGCTGCACCGGTCCAGATCTTTCCGCCCCCCTCCAGTCCTTGAGCAGTTCCGGGAGGGCTGTATTGACCTCCAGCCCGGTCTTCTGACTGAAGGTAACATACGAGGCTGCTGCTTGCGCCCGCCCCATGCGGATGGCTTCGGCCGACACATCTATCTCGCAGGACAACATCTCCCCCGCTAGCACCGCCAGCGATTCTCGTAATTCGCGAATGAGAGTCACTGCATTCGCTGGAGCCCATTCCTCTAACCGACTGAACAACATGCGGAGCTGTTCATACAACGTGACCTGCACGTTTCGACCGCCACTGCGGACTACTCGGTGAAGAAGCGTCTTGGTTTGTAGCAAATGTCCGGTGGTGCCTTCGATTCGGGTCAGTGCACCGTCGAGAAGGCAGCTGTACAGAGACTTACTTTCTGTAGACCCACAGGATGCTGGATTGAAGCTTTGTAGAAGGCATTTCACACAAGCCGCCAGTGTATCGTCGGTGGTTTGCCTTGGTGCATGTTAGTAAATGACCAGCAGACTGGAGCACTCCAACGTACTTAGACTTCTGTCCGTTTCCTGAGTCGATATCCATCGAGTCCTCTTCATCCTCTAGTTCATCCACTACTTGGGATACGATGCTTATGGCATCAGGCATCAGGTTGAGATCTTTGCGTGCCTGAGCGACTCCGCCCAAGGCGACCAGCGCGTACGGGCGATACGTGGGGTTTTTGCGCTTCGCCTCTCGAACTGCTATGACCTTTTGGTCGTTATCAGTAAAGAGGTGAGATCCAAGAAGGGTTCAACAAACCTTCATTGTGTCACCGAGCGGGGGGTCCTCGTGCCAGAGTTTCGTGGCCTGGCCCGCAAACTTCACGAACGCCTTTAAGACGGTCTCCTTCCCTTCCCAAGTTTTGCCTGCCATTGCATTTTCCAAGACGGGCCACAGATGTTTCCCCGTGGCGATGTCGACCTCGGGGTCTAGTGCCATGATAGCATTGGCGAATCCCAGTGCCGCTGTATGCTTGATCGCCCAGCGGGGCGACTCCAGGTTCTCCAAAACCAGAGCCGTGATTTCTTTGAGGTACAGTGACACTGCACGATTCCCGCCCACGTTATCCTGCCATGTCTTCTCAAAGACCTCTCTGACATGGGCATCACTATCGTACTTCGCAACAAATATGAACGGCAAGACAGTCGCAGCAAAGGCCATGAACTTATCGTTAGACAACTTGGATGCCGAGTGAAGAATCTCCGCTGAAATGATGCGCGGATTGACGTCTTCTGCACTTAGGTACAGATTTTTAGCATGCTCCATCATCTTGAGAATCCGATCATCGGAAGCCAGTCGTAGAAGGTAGCCGATGGATGTACAGTAGGACGCACTGACGGTGTCGTTGCGGTCGACCACGTATTTCCCCAGAAGCTGAACAAAGCGATCCGCATAGGGACGGAAGACAGCCGGCTTCATGCTGAGCAGAACTAAAACACGGCTGCAGCCTACCTTGGAGGGCAGACCCACGGCCGATCGAAGCACGCCTTCGAGTTTGACCGCAAACTCTTTCATACTCGTTTCGTCCAACGTATCGATGAGGTATCGTTCAATCACTTCCATCATCGGCGAAGTGCGAATACTGGAGAGCCTCATTTTGTCGATATCCTGGCCACTCAATCCGTACTTTTCTGCATTGAGATGGACGTAGTTGACTGCCTGCGGCTCCAGCGAGCTCAGAGAATTCAGGAATTGTTCCATAATCTGCGGCACAAATGGGCGCAATGGTCCACCGGGACTTTTCTTGATCATTTGGACCAAAGCGCCGATCGCAAACCCTTGGACTTCCTGGACGCCGGATTCCATGCCTTTGTCACTCAATAAGAAGGGGATCACACTATCGAGCATCTTGCTCGACCTTTTGGCGTTCGAGTCGCCTGTCTCCAGTGTACGAAGGACTGCGTTCGTGATCGTTTGACAGAGCTTCAGAGCGGCCGCTCGAACGGACTCTTTGATATCGTCCACCAGTTTAAAGGCCTTGCTGAAGATCTCGTCCGTGTACCTGGCGTAGCTATCCGGCTGTCGACCCTGAAGCAGGTCCGCGATCGCGGCACAGCTCGCCTGTCGCACTCGCCATTCCCGTCCCGCCATCATACTTTTGAGTAGATCTCCTATGATTTCATCGAAATGAGTGTTGATCAACTCTGCCGGCTCTTTGACCAGCGCTTGCCATATCGTGTTCATGGACCGCTGCACATTCGGATTAGGGTCAAACCTATAACGGAACAGTTTGGGATAGATCTTGGGATTGCTGGCGAGATACCCGCTGGCACTAGAATCCGAAAAGATGCTGCTGATTCCCAGCTTGCTGAACGCTGCACGATTGGTCCAGAGGGCATTGTTTGAGGCCAATGACATGAATCGATACACGAGCGAAGGATCGCCGGCTTCGGCGGCAAGGTTCATGATATCCTTGTAGGTATTGACCGAAGAACCACCTCCGGTGGGAAGAGATCCTGGTTCAAAGAGTTCGGTTTCTTCATTGACCCTCCCACCCCTCAAGCTAGAGCTGTTTGCTGTGAAAGATTCTACCAGGTCGCGCACTAAGTCATCCTTGAGCGCCTGGTCCCCAATCTCATACACGAGACTCAAGCCTTGAGCTCCAGTTTCCTGAACCACCTCATCTCGATCGCCCAGCAGTCTGGAGAATGTCTCTTGGCACTTGCGGAGTCTGATTTGCATTTCCTGTATATGGCCACAATTTTTCACTAGGCATAACAACCAAATCGCAGATGCCTTTCGGAGAGCTGGCTTCGACGCACCACAGTCATCGATAATTTTGTCGCACATAGTAGCAAGCACGACTTCGGAGATCGAGGACGCGGGAGGTTGTTCATCAACATCAAATTCGGTCGCCAGTGATCTAGATTTCCACCCGACAGCAGCGCCACTCAGTGCCTCACCGACTGTAAAATGTACCTCGGGACTGCGGATCTCGTGCAAGCCATAGAGTGCATCCAGCGATTCCTTGAGCGCTTCTTCTACAGACAGTTCGCTGTTGCCAGAGAATGTCAGCGATAACAGTCCCATGGAGATGATAGCTGCCTCGCTTTCAGCCTTCGCATCCTGCGCTATCTTGCTCTTGATTGACTTCCACGTATCACCAGAAAGCCTCGTAGGTGGTAATATTCCCGAAAGGGCGAGTTGTCCAATAGCCACCTGCGCAGACCGTCGGAGCAGAGAGTCCCTGGCAGTCTCGATTATTTCGAAAACTGCACTGATAAAACGATTTGCCGGTTCTTCTGGGATTCTGTGTCGCATGTTTCGAAAAGCAAGTCGGCTGAATACGTACGACAAGGCAAGGATTGCCCCTCGGCTTTTGAGGGCGAGTTCACCAATCGCATCCTTCCATGCAGCAACAGAGCTTGACAGCTCGGTAACGAGAACCGCTAGATCATTCTCACTAAATGTAGGATGAGAGGCCAAGATTCCGAGGGCGTGTGCCGCTACATCCTGCCTCCCTTGGTCGTTGCTGTAAAGAGGGCCTTTCAATGACAGTGTTTGGGGAATCAGCGCCTCAACTATGTCATTCGAGACCAGCGAGCAGATACTGACAAACTGCTCGCCACATTGCAGCCGACCTTCCGAATTCTCGCCGACGAGACCGGCCAAAGCACTCGATAGGAACAGCAGGACGGCTCCTTTTTCGGAGATCTGTATGTGCTTTCTTACCGCTGACCGTGCCTGCTCATCGGTCGAAAGGAGCACATCAAGCTTGACATCCCAATCCTGCTCAATGCCTGCCGTGATATTGGATTTGGAGAAGGACTCCCAGAGCAGGATCTCACGTAGAAACGTCACAGCAGGGGCAAATGCCTTTTTGTAGGGCCCTGATAGTATCTCCGTCGCGGAGAGCCCAGGCACTCCGGCTGAGGCCTCCGAACCAAACAGGAAGCGTGTCACCTCGGAAAAGTTGGGGAAATTGAACCACAAAGCTCGCGAGTCATCCGTCACTGACGCGAACCATTTCTTGTCCTTGCCAGGGTTCAAAAGGCGGTACCAGTAAGGATGCAAGCCCTTTTTTCCTTCCTCAATGACCTCATGACGCCTTTCTGAACCTTGCGCGACGGCGATGAGGTCAATCCAACGAGCGACAACATCTCCATATGGCAAAAATCTATTAGAAAAGCGCACAGCTGCATACTGAGGACTCCTGACTATCTTGAACCCCGTCATCGAATCGTCATCTCCAGGGTGATTTCCCATCTGGTGAATAAGGAATGGCCGCAGATGGTCTTGGAATTGTTTATCCCAGTTATCAACCGATGAGTTGAGAATACTTCCCAGAGCCTGTTCGATGCTCACAAAAATCTGAGAGCTGGAGTCATCGGAGCTTAGAGACGTGAATAGCCATCTGATCAGGTCATAGCCTGATATCGCCTCATCTTCCTCCCGCACCTGGAAGTCCACTTTCGGGACCATGACTCCAATGCTCTCGTAGGCAAGGCCCCGTAGACTTAGATCGCTCGCGGGGAGCCGCTGTCCACTCGCGCCGGGGCTTGGCCAGCCTTGAGACTCGATAAAATCCTTCAGACCTGCTATTACCTTGGGCGCCATGCGTTTGAGTTCGGATGAAGAGCCCATGCGCACCACCCATGTCGTGAAGGTGAATATTTGTGTGCGCAACTTCGAGGCTTGCAATCCTTGCGCAGTTCTCGCAGCGTCGGAAAGCAGACCCTCTTCTATCAATCGAATTACTTTATCGGTGTCCACTGTAGCCCGCATCGATTTTCCCAGATACACTAGAATTCTGATCTGCAAGGCAGGTCGTGCTGGGAGCGCACCATCAGGCGTGCCCGCTCCAAAGTACAGACCATACAGCTGCTGTACGACTTCTGGATTTTCGAGATCCGGAATGAACCGCTTCATAATCTCCTCTGCCAAGTCTGATATACGGGTGTTTGTATCCGCAGATGCAATCAAAGCCGGCAGAAAGCGCTCTGAGGGTGCGAAGGCTCCACTGGCGAGAAACCTCAACGCAGTCGCTTTAGTCTCGGTCAAATTCAACCCACCGGGAGAGGATTGACTCCAAGTTTCCGTCGCAGGCGCGCCTTTGTTCAGAAATATGTACTCTGCGGGAGAAAGCCCTGGACATGTGGGCGCATTCTTCTCCGCGGGGGCGAGAATGAGTAATTTCCCAAACCAAGAGGCTAAGAAGCGGGTATCCTGATCGGAGAGACCAAGATGAGACTTCAACTGCGCATCATCTTTACTATCCTTCGCGGGTAGTTTTAGCAACGGTAAAAGCCGAAGGACGAGATTGAACACGACGGCAGCCTGGTCGATAGAGGTCCCAATCTCGGAGACTCCCTGAAGCAATGGAACCAGAATCTCAATTCTGGCATCGGAACCCAGCCGATCTAGCCCTTGTTGAATATAAATCAAGTCGAAGTGTCTAATTAGGGGGGACTTTTGTTCCTTGAACTGCTTCAATAAAGCTGGCACGGGCAGCTTGATTGATGGGGACTGGGCTCTCGTGTTGATATGCTGGCAGACTGCAATTACCTTGTTGCGCACCGCAAGGCTCTCGGAGCCCAGTTTCAGCAGTAGAGGTACCAGATACGTGCTGAGTAATGTACTTAGTTTCTCATCCGTTTCTGCCAGAGCGATCCTGAGCTCGACTTTAGATATCAAGCTCAGCTCGCGGGCCTCGGCATTCGCTGACGTGGTCTCCGATGCCATGGTGGGAATGAATGAGTAGATAGAGCAGGAAGGATATCTTCGCACATCGAAGACAGGGTTTAAGAAGATGAAGATAGAGGGGTAGTAGCCACGGCCGTTTCTCTAGGCAGAGACACCCACGTCAGTTGCGGTCCTGAGGCTCCCCATAACAAAGCTACTATCCCGATTGGGATAGTCTGGCTTAGTCACTGCGCTGAAGTCAGCAATTTATACGCTAGTCCAAATGAGGTAATTCTGCATAACAACTGATATAGACTCCGTACAGAACACATTATGACCTATTATGATAACATTTTCACTATATATTCCAAACCAAATCACCCAAATCCTACGGTTTCCAATCAGTACAACTCCCGGGCAGATGGACCCTCGACTCTAGTCTCTTGTGTCCGCTCTCCGCTGCTGGGCTGCTTCCCCCCTCAGGAATCTGGCTACTTCTCGTTCAGCACCCGCTGAGTGGCCATTCACTTTGTTCTTAGAACGTCCAAACAAACATTGCCACAAGTCATCCTTCTCGACCAGTTCTCCACCGGACGCACCGCCCGCCATTAGCTTTGCGAGGGCGGCGTCCTGGACTTCTAAAGAATTAGCGGAGTCAATGGCCGCTTCGGTCAAGTTATTGACCAGAGCTTCGTCTGTCCCCTCCTTGCGAGCAATGTGGGATAGACGACGTGTAACGGAAAGGTCGTAGATGGACTCCTCGACGGTATCATTGACAAGGTACATCCAAACAGTAGTTGGGAGATGTTGACCGATTCGATGTACTCGAGCAATGGCTTGGAGTTCAATTGCTGTGTTGATCAAGGGCTCGCAGAGGAAGACATGGGTTGCATTAACCAGGTTAAGCCCCGATGAATGAGCTTTTGCGTGTAGCAGGAAGCATTCAACCTGTATCATCAGTATCTTTCACCATCAATTGAGGTCAGCACCTACCGACGGATCACTTTTGAATAGCTGTATGCCATCCTTGCTATCAACGCTGCTATACCCAATCTTAAACCGTGAGAACGCAGTGCCTAGTACGTCCAGAAAGCTTTTGTACTGGGAGAAAACCACAGACTTCGCGCGAGGATCATGCTCCCGGAGCCATAGGATGTGACGGGCCAAGGTATCAATCTTGGTTCCAAAAGAACTATCCAGATCAATGTTTTTGATCTCTTTGAGAGTCCCCGAGCCAATATCAGCATATATGGACTTCTTGGGTGAGGAATCGTTTTCAAGTTTTGCTGGTGTTCTCTCCTCTTGTACAACAAACTCCTGCGGCTTGTATGTAATCTGGTGGACATCAGTTCCCTTCAAGCGTTTCTTGCATGTTGGACAAGTCCGATGTTGGTGCCACCACAAGCGCAGGCAATCTTTGCAGTACTTATGCCCGCAGACCGTTAAAACACCTGCACATCGTCAGCTAATCCCAGAAAAAAACAGGGCATACTCACCAACTTCAAAGCTCGACTGGCATATGACACAAATCTTGGAGATGTCATCTGCGCCTGATTCATCCCGTAGATGAATGAGATAGCGACGCTTCGCCCTCAAGGCCGAAATTTTCTCGTCGGTCACGCCCTCCTGTCGAACTTTCGCCGCAAAGGCTGTCTCGTCCAAAGGTTTCCCGACACTCTCTTCATCGTAGGGGGCTACTGTGTCGGATATCTGCTGCAGCTGGCGGTAGTACTCGAGGCGATAGTTCATCGTATCTCGGAACAATTCCACTTCCCTCTCTAAGCTCGATGCGATTTTCCCTTGTTCTGAAGCCATCTGGCTGGAATTCTGAAGGATCAACGAGACAATTTCCAGCTCTGCCTCGGCTCGCGAGCTCCCTCCACTAGCTTGCCACTCCAAAGAGGTGGCTAAGCTGCGGATCTCGCTGATAATGCCACGAAGTGAGCCTAGTTGAGGATCGGGCTTTATGTTACTACGAGTACCCATCAACTCCAGGAACAGCGTCGGGGAGGGACCTTCCCCTTTTTGCGCCTGGATTATGCCACCCTTGACCTCATGGGCGATGAGGACGTTCTTCTGGCCAGTCAACGCATCATGGCGATCCGCAAACATTGCACGCAATGCTTCCATGTAGACATACATCTCGTCTTGATGCTTCGTTGATCTTTCGTACTCATCGCCTTCGAGCTCATTCTCGTCCTCCTGGTCAATGAGTGATTGGGATAATAGTTTCACCATAGCATGACGCCACTCGTTGTACTGATCGGCATGGTTATTCATAGCTTCGCAAAAATCCTCAAGTTTATCAAGTACGCGGCGAGCCTCCACCCCTTTATTGTAGAGATGAGGGCTCATCTTAGAGATAGCCACGAACTGCTGCCTTTGAGACTTCTTCCTGATCTCTCTCATGAAACGGCCCACTTTGCCAGAAATATCCTGTAGCATCTCCTTGCGAATTGCTTTTGCCATTCCATACGCCTCTTCCTCACGCTTTTGTAGGGACAGAAATTCTTCAGAATTGGGGTCGGTAAGCTTCGGGTCGGTCTTGATTTGGTAATACGCGTTTCCCGTGAAAAACACGCAGATATGCTGAATCTCAAGAGCAGATCGTAGCCTCTGGCGAAAAGTACCAACCCGAGTATTCTTGTCGTTCTCTTCGCTCTCATCGTCGCTTGCGTCGACTGAATTCGTATCATGCTCGGCCTTGGCTGAAGAAGGGATCCGTTCTGAAGACAGCCGGTCCCGACACTCCTTGACAATATCACCAGCACGCTCTAAAGAGTTCATCCAAAGATCGAGCGCCTTTTTCCGGTGCAAGGAATTCTCCAGCAGCTGCCCACGCCGAAGCTGGGAAAGAAGAAGTGAGCGCTCCTCTGTTTGAATAAGAACGTCGTTCTGGTCAATCATGACTCCTAGCACTTCAGCCACGGACCGCAGAGGCCCATTCGCGATACCAAACCCTCGACGATGATTCCCAGCAGGATGAAGACACGTCTGTCGAAGCCTGACTAACCAATTTCGCATCTTTTCGATAATTGCAGAGTCCTCCGGGCTCCAGTCATCATTGATCGGTGCTCCCGATAGGTCAAAGCCACATTCCTCACACATTTCTTCGTACAACTGTCCATAATATTGTTCCTCGACGGCAGTAAAAGGGATTGTGATGACAACTCTCTTCTGAGGCGGCAAATGAAGTTCATTGCGGACGTGGTCTTTGCTGTGCCGAAGCGAAATACTGTGAACAATGCGCGCTAGCACAAGCCGAAACTCGAGGGAGAGTCTATTCCATGCCACCACAAAAGGTTGATAGTGGAGGAAAAGCAGCAGACCGAGCAGATCCTTAATGTCTTTGCGAAGCGGCGTTCCAGTAACAGCCCAGGCATTTTGGCGAGGGATCAAGTGCGCGACTTTGGCTGCATTACTGACTCCGCTCTCAATCATCTGGGCTTCATCGAGGCAGACTCGCCACCAAGACACTTGAACGAGAGGCGTTTTGCGAGGTTCAAATCTTTTCTCGTGGCGCAAATTTCTCTTCGGAGCATCGCCAGAATAATGTATTTCTCGTGCGAGGACATTGTAGGTGGTGAGTACTACATCGTAATCAGCAATCATCTCCACCAGCTCTTGATCCGAAAGTGCCTGATGACGTTGGATTCCCGTGTAATGAAAGACACTGAGGCCGGGTGCATGAGTCAAAATCTCTTGCTCCCATTGCTCAAGAATTGCAGGCGGTGTTATAATCAATGTGGCGCCTGATAGTCTTAGACTCCCTGAGTGGCTGTCCGAAAAGGTTTCCTCGGGGGACAGCAAACGGCGATTGAGGCACATCAGCCCGATCATCTCAACCGTCTTTCCAAGGCCCATTTCCTCTGCAAGTATACCACCATTGAGGCGGACATTCGCATCGAACCAATTTGATAAGTCACTGGTGACTATCATAAATAGATGGCTGGCAAAGCACAGTCTGCCGTCTGCATCGACAATTCTTTCGAAAGATTCGGGTAGCTGATCCTGCGGTTGCTTTTGGATGGGTACCACCTGCCCGTTCTGCTGAAGTGCCATGCCCTCCCTCTGCAGAAGCCACCTAACTGCTCTCCTTTGAAACGGGAACAGTTGACAATCGATCAGGTCGCATTTGATCTCCGAGGACGAGGTTGGCGTGTCCGGCGGCACGTATACGTTGTCATAAAAGTCGCGAGGAGACCAGCCAAGTCCATTCCTAGGTCGCTGACGTTTCTCCTCATGACTTCGATAGCCGTCTGGTTCTTGCAAAACGTATTTGAAGAATACTCTAGATAATGATGGGTTTTTAGGATCCTGAATATCTATTGAGTCTTTCCATAGTATCACTGTTTCAAGCTGAAACCTTTTCTGATCGGATAAACGGTGTAGAGTCGACTGATAACAAACAGGGGGCTGTTTTCTGGAATAACGGTCGGCACAAACAAGACTCCGAGCAAGCTCCAGGTGCTCGCCAATGTCAGATAATTTCAACTGATCTATACGGTCCCTAAATATAATATTTTGTTCTGAGGTAGTAGTAAGTTCCAACTCGAAGCAATCACACGGTGCCTGATGTAGGCCAGATGCACTGTGCGGGGCTCGAAGGTTTCTAGCCGTTTGAATAAAGACGGGTAAGCTTGTGGGTGCTTCGGCTGAGTCGCTGGGTCCTTCAATGTCCAAATTCTCGCTTCCAAATTCCTGTAGTTGAAGTACGGCCGAATGAGTAAGACATCCTGTGCGGGTAGACGGATCGCATACCAAGTATAAGTGCAAACGGGCCAGAGGCACGTAGCCTAGAGGGGTCTGTAAGTAGGACAGGCCGTTCAGCTCCCTCAGATGAGCCCCGGTGTTTAATCTCCGACGTTTGCTTGCGGGGGCATTGGCCTCGAGCGCATCACTTGCCGCAAATGCAATTGCCAGAGTATAAGGCACAGTACCTGAAAGCATGCGGAGTCAGCTATCAAATTTGCGATCACGGTAAATTTAAATCCAATTTACCTGGGAGATATATTTCTGTATTGACCACAGTCATCGCGACATGCCGTTTCTATACCACCGCTCCCAAACACCAGTAGAGATGTCAAGCTGCGGAGGCAACGGAGCGGGAGATCGCGATACGATGACGACCTTATCGTGTCATCACGTGAAGATAGCGCGTTTGGACCCCCAGCCGCTTTCAGTACCGATCTAAAGATGACTCCTTAGAAGAGATGAAATAATTACAATGCCCACGGGTGTATGTAGCTGCTCAAGGGCCAAAACCTTATTTGCAAGACACTACTCCGTACGCCCAAAATTAAACCTCCCCCAGGCTACGGAATAAATAAAGAGAAGATGGAAGGAAAGACCCACTTTTAAATTCGCTCACGCTGGGAAAGACCTTGAGAGATATAGGCGTGAAAGTTACTGTATAGGGGTTATGCTAGAAAGCGAATACACGAGAGTAGTGTTCAAAAACCGGCAATATAAGAGAATCTAGGTAGTCACGGCTCACATAAAGAGACGCCAGGCACCAAGAATCAATGCCGCGGTACCAGTGCAAACACCCCTGAGAAAATTGACTCAGATTAGCAATAAACCAGGTGAAAGCGAGGGAGGGTAGGTCATACATAAGCCACTGCAGTGTTGAGAATTTGACAGCCTCCACCCGCTCTCTCAGCCCTGCAACCTCTTGCTCAATTCTGGTTTCAGTCTCCTTAATGCGCATCTCTTGGCCGTTTGCTTCTTCCCGAATACGACCCTTTTCAAGGTTCAAATCCAGGCGTACAGACGCCTGTGTGCGCCCTATTTCGTCTCGTAAGCGAGAATTAAGTTTGGCGAGGTCGGCAGCGATTTTTTCGTGTGATGATCGGGTTAGTTGTGCTTCCGTGGAATCCGCATTAAGGAGTTCGGAGCGAAGCTTAGCGAAATCGACCTTTTGTGTATACGTGGATCTTTCGGCGTCTAGCACAAGTCAGTATGACTGGGTGCAATCATCACACCTGGAATGGCATCCTCTTGAACTTCAGGAAGGACTAACCCTCTCTGAGAACCATTGTCCGGGTTAGGTTCTGGATTGATTCTTGAATCACATCGTTCAGGACTCGCATCATAGAAACGGCCTGTTCCTCGCTGAACCCCTCATCTTTTAATCGCTGGACGAACTTCAAAGTATCGAAATGGTGATCTCTTGGCCGAACTGCCGAGGCATGGAAGGCGCGCTGTGCGACTTTGAAGGTAGCGACATAAACGCCATTGTATCGAACCGGGTTGCCAGCGGGGGTTGGGCGACTGGTCGGGTTTGAGGCCGATGTTTGCCTAACCGGTGATAACGACAATCCTGGCCCTCTGAATGATAAGGCGGAGGAACGAGAGGAGAGTGTTAATGTATGTAATTGCCGTCCAGTGGAGTTCCAGCTGTGTAGGTGTCGTTGCTTCTGTTGTCGTCGAGCCGAGAGGGCGGTTGTCTGCGGCGGAGGGAGTGTGGTTCGAGCAGAGGCGCCATTCCATGTCAAACGGGGGAGGATTGAGCGTGGAACCTCCGTGACGGATTTCTGATGTGCCATTCTAGTGAGTGTCGTTTTTGGATATGAAGGTCCTGTTCGAAGGAACTCATGAAGATGCTGACAGTGCGGTTGGTTCACGGAAGATCCGATGACTAATGGCTGCTAATTTGGCACGAGACTCCACACCGGGAACCTTTAACTCGGAGTACGGAGTTTTGCCCGCGGTCCCACTAGATATTATTCTTGTTCTTCTACTACTCCGTACTACAGTCTTCTTGCAAGTCTTGAAAATATCTGAAACGGTCTGGAACGGTCTGGAACGGTCTGAAACGAAAACAAATGGAAAAAAAAAAAAAAAAAAAAAGAAAGTAATCCTTGGGCGGTAGTTCTTACAAATAGCCTACAACTAACCGGCAAGACAAGCTGTCTACCGCCCCATGGTTGTCTGGAAGACTTTGGCTGCCAGTTCACTCAGAAGTCGAGCACGGTCGCTCTGTGGAAGGTCCAGGAAGACGGCATAGACACTCTTCCCCTTTGCATCGCGGACGGCGCCGAGGCGGTTTCCGGCCACGGCACCAGCGAGGGCACCGGGAGCATTGGCCACGATAAACCCAAGCGCGCCGCCGCTGAGTCCACCCACCACCGACCAGAATCGCGAGGTAGGCCGCGTACCGCCGCCGTCCTCGCTGGCAAGTCCTTCTTCGCGTAGCATCTCCTCAAACACTGATCCGAACTGGTCAGAGGCCTGTTGTTCGCGGTCCGCGGAGCTGAACCCAAAATTTGACCATGCAAACCCTCCGTTATCGTTGGGCACTTCGTCCTCTTCAGCGCCCCGTGATGCGTCGTACTCTCGCCGTCGTGACTCCTCCGAAAGTGTGTAGTAGGCATCATTAATCTCCTGGAATTTGCGTGTTCGCGCGGGCCGTTCAGGCGAGTCTGCCGGTACTCGATCGGGGTGTGATTTGAGGGACTCTCTAGAGGACGTGCTGTTAGATTCGGGGTCGCTCAGCTGTGACTGTGAGACACATACCGTTTATAGGCGATGCGAATCTCTCTCTGCGACGCATCTGGAGAAACACCGAGAACTCTATCTGCATATCGTCAGATCTGCTGGACTATCCGGGCGTGAGATGTTTACAGTAGTTTGGTTGTCCTGTCGGAGAAAGGTTAGCGGGGCATTTTGGCAGCAAGGACAAACTCACTAGGCATTTTGGCAGCAAGAAAAACCTTGTGTTGACAGTTATCAAAGGTTTAAGGAGATTCGATCAGCTGTCAGTGTACTTTGTTTCGTAGTCCAAGTTTTGGTGAAGGCAACGGAAATACTGGTCGAGTGCTGCCGAACGGGAATGACGTCGGTCGGCGATGTTGGTGCCTTAGGTGTCTGGCACGGCACAGAGCCACGGGACTGTTCACCTACTCACATACTACTGAGTGGGTGTGAAATGAAAGTAGCCCACACTAAAGGCCTAGGGCACAACTTACGCAGACTCGTGCCCTTACTCGCATGGCCGAGCCGGGCGAGTCTAAAGTCTGACTTACATACGGCGAAGAGTCGCACTCGCTGCTGACGGGACGGGAGACGTCCCTGAGGAACAGCGCCAATGAGGATTGTCAGGCCCCCCTCCAGCCACCCATTGTGTTGGAGCTATCCTCAGCTCCTCCCACTAACTGCACAGACGGGGTTTGCCATTCCCCCCTTTTTTCATCATTTTAATTCATTGCATTTTGTATTAGGGTCAACTTCCTTGCATGAAACATATTGCCTCAAACAGTCGTCAATTCCATTCCACAGTCACTTGATAGTTGATACTCCCTGACTACCCCGTGCACTTGTCCTCAGCTGAAACTCGGTGGGGACCGTCAATGCCGCAGGGAGTCTAGATCTGGAATTGTGTGCATCTGCAGCAGCTGGGTCCGCACTGTTATATGATTGCCTGAGCTGCACTCTGCAAATTTCGAGGGGCACACACTTGGAAGTGTTCAATCCGGAAACCCAAAAAAAGTCCTCAATCCAAAATCTGCCTTCAATTTCCAATCAGTCTTGTTGAATCGGTCTTGTCCTCCTCCGCGACCATCACTCACCCAAATTCCGCCATGGGTTGGTTCGACGGACGCACTTCTTCATCGTCTGGCCATGTCCGCCGACGCTCTCCCTCTCGTCGATCCACCTATTCCACTCACCATTCCCGTCACTCGACGCCATCAATCTTCAGTTTAGGTGGCGGCGGCGGCAATCGATCGGGGCGGTCGAGTCCGTCAGTCTTTTCAACCTCGTCCTCACGTCGGGCACGGCCTCGATCGGGATTCATCCAGCGAGTGGTCCACTTCATCAAACGCTTGTGGCGTGACATCTCCAACTACGCCCGCCGTCACCCGTTCAAGGTGCTTCTTCTAGTCGTTGTCCCCCTCTTGACCAGCGGCGTGTTGCAGAAATTGCTTGCTATGGTTGGAATCCGTCTACCGAGAAACATTCTGAGCAGCCTCGGCGGCGGACAGTCTGCACAAGGCGGCGGTGGAGGAGGTGGTGGTGGCATGGCAGACAACATCCACGGGTTGATGAATATCGCCAAGATGTTCATGTAGCCCATGACTTAAAGTCGATGATTTAAGGAGAGATAGACGCTCACGACCATCATGATTATTTGTTCCTTGTCTTTTTCTTTGTCTTGTTTCCTTTGGTTTTCAATTTCCTATTATGTCCAATCCAGGAGACCAAATACCATGCTTGCTCCGGCCACAACGATATCAATGATATCAGATGTTTTTGTGCTTTTTCCAGATTCCATCTGTCTACCGTGTAGACCTAGACCTAGATAGTTCTTCGCGGCGCCAGGTTCCCTGAGCCGTATAGGCTAACCATGAAAAATCTACGATGACAATTTCCTGAAGCAAGATTGATAGGTTCTATATTCGAGTGCACCAATAGATTTATACAACGCGCCTAGAACTGTCTCACCGTTTCTGTCGCGGGACAAATGAGAAACAAACTACCTATTTTTCTATCGAAAGATGACGTATAATTCAAAGCTGCCTTTCTCGCGGGTTAGGAGCGTGCAGAGCGCTTTCCTCTCTTGCGAGAAGCCCCGCTCTTTTTAGAGGCAACCGCGGAACTGACAGACTCTTCCACCGGCTCCTCTACTTCGGCCGATTCGTCTTCATCAGAAACGTTGTCAACATGCTCCGAGGACCCAAGCAACTTGCCGAAGCTTTTGCGGTAGAACCAGACGGGGATTTGGAACAGCATGGTATTGCGCACCCTCGGGCGCTGGATTTCGTCAACATCGAGTAGGAATTCCTGGCGCTCGCCGTCCTCCGTCTCATCTTCCAAGAATACGTTGCCGATCGAGTCCACGATGAGGACCTTGCCATTCTCGGCAACGACGCGCTTCCTCTCCCCGGACGGCTCCACGGACTCGGTCGTCGGGGTGGAGGTGCCGGAGGTGGCGCGCGAGACGGATCGAACACCCTTCTTGGAATCCTTCCGGTTTTCCTTGTCCATCATACGTTTCTGGCGACGGTTCATGGGCATGGCGCTCGCCTCGTTGGCTTCCGCAGCGGGAGCCGGAGCACCTGCATTCGCGTCCACACCCGGAATGCCGCGAACGCCGAGTTCATCGCCCCAGGCAGCTCTTCTGGCTTGGCGAATATACCGATCGACGAACTCCCGCTGACGCTTCCAGCCCAGGATCAGGGCAGCATAGTGAGCGCCACCGCCGAAGGCTAAGAATAGACCAACCATCACGGAGCCGAGTCCCGGGCGGAATCGCGAGTAGTAATATCCTGTGCCTTTCCACTTGGGGAACCCATTTCGCAGGAAATGATCGTATCGCTCGCGCGACGGACCACGAAGAATGTTGGCGACGGTGTTCAGGCGGGAGGCTCGTTCAGTGGCCTGCTTGACAGCAGCCGCGATCTCGCGCTCAGAGGGACCCTTGTTGACGTGAACTCCCTGCTTGCTCGTCTTCGACCGGGCCTTGTCATTGGAGCTGTTGGCAATGAAGGAACGTCTGATTTTATCGGGATGGAGAAGTCTTGATTTCTTGCGATAGGCCTTGTTCAGTTCATCCTGGTTGGCATTGGGCTGGACCTCGAGGAAATCTGTCCGTTGAACAGGTCAGATTTTGAACATTAGGGCAGAGTGGCTGACGTACCGTAGAAAGTCACATTGAACCCCTCTCCGGCAGCAACCTCATCGCGGAGGCGGAAAATCTCATAATCTACAGGCAGGCATTGAGGTTAGATATGATGTCTGGCGATTATCGGTGAACGCAAAAGACGGTGAGGAAATCCCTGAGTCAAAGGAGTGGAAGCAAGTGGTGGGGAAGGCCAGAGGAACCGACCTTCTTTGGTCCACGCTGTCGCCAATACAAATAGGACAGCAAACAACAACAGGCGGAGCGCTGTCGACTTCATTCTGAAGAGGACACGAAGGGGAGCGGTCAAACCCGCCGAACCCACGAAACGATGGAAGAGAAGGAGGAGAGAATGGCCAGTACGGTTGCAGGAGGAATCGAAAATCTCCAGGACTTACTGGGTAGGGTTCAGGGAGCGAAAAGAGTCGAGAGAATTGGATCCAAAGGATCAAATTAATTAATTGGATGCGCCCTGCCTGGGCCGGATGCCATAGTTCTCAGGCAGACAAACCATCTGTCTTCAGGCATCGATATTGATTTAATACCGTATGATGTATTATTACCACGAGGTACCCCATCAGACAGTCACGGGACTCCACGCTGCAGGTGCACGTGGACCAATCAGATGAGAGATGATCGAAGTTGTTCTCCTCCAAATTGAAGGAAATTCGTGGCCGGAGAAGACAAGAACAGCTGGGAAAACTGGCAGGCTGGAAGAGACAAGGAGCAGCCGGGTTTAAATTCAATGGAGGTGCTCCCCCCCTCGATCACTTTTATCTTCCCGTTGTCGACCAGCAGGTGGTAGTACAGTCCTACAGTCCGACCACGGGATGAACCATTCACAGATGCCTTAGGGCTGGACTGTAGTTCTACAGACTACCTACGGATACTACAAGGCAAGATGGTTGTTTTCATCTGATCTCCCAGCGGCCAGCCGTCCTTGGTGGTCCGCACTCAGCCATCCTTCTCTCTTCCGGGGGTGTTCTATTCTTAGCCGTCACCGCCCAAGTGTTTCGGAGAAGCCTGGTCTTTGTGTCTTGGAGGCTCGCTTTCTTGTTCCTCTTCTTCTTTCTGCTTCTCTCTCATACGCAGTTGCCTTTGCAAAATCAATATTCGTACTTCCTGACAGGAAGTGGTCCCCGAGGGAGTCGTTGACGCTCGATTGTTCGGGGCGAGAAGAGACGAACGGGCCGCGAAGGGTACTCCGTAGGCTAAAAGTCCAGTCAGCTCTGCAGTCAACCTTTTTTTTCCCTTTCGGCCAGCTAAGCCGCTTCCATCTTCTCCAAGATTTCCCCAAACCCCTTTTCCTCCCTCTCTTCTTTCATTCTTCATCTTCACTTTCACTCTTATCCTCTATTATCTATCACCTATCTTTTACTCTATTCATCCGACTTCGTGAAGAAACCCTTCACAAAGAAACGAGCCAAAAACACTCCCCTTGTTTATTTATTTGGTTACCCTCACAATGAGCTCCCTCAAGATTCCCATCGATGCGATCACCTCGCGCTTTGGTGATCGCTTCAACAGCGTTCGCTCCCAGTCCATTGGCACTCGCTTTGCCAACCTGCGACCGGTTTCCGAGTTCCTCGATCTCAAGCGTCTCTCCAAGCCGGCCAATTTCGGCGAGGTCCAGGGTCGCGTGAACTACAACCTGTCCTACTTCTCGAGTAACTATGCCGTGGTCTTTGTCATGTTGAGCATCTACAGCTTGCTCACCAACCCCGTCTTGCTCTTCGTCATCATTCTGGTCACCGGTGGTCTGTACGGCATCGGGAAGCTGGAAGGGCGCGACCTGGAGTTGGGCATCGCTCGCTTCAACACCTCTCAGCTCTACACCGGCCTGTTGATCGTTGCGGTCCCTCTGGGCATCTGGGCCTCCCCGATCTCGACCGTCCTCTGGCTGATCGGCGCCACGGGTGTGTCCGTGTTCGGACACGCGGCCTTTATGGATAAACCAATCGAGAATGCTTTTTCCGAGGAGGCGGTCTAGGTGGTCGGCCGCGAGCTCCTTACGGTACGCCCCGATGGGGAAGACCACCGGGGGCACAACTGGGGAGGCAAACGAGGAGACGGGCAGCCCCGTGGCTGGATGATGACGCACGAATTGAGGAGATTGACAGCGAGGACGAATATAATCTACGCAATGGCCGAGCTGGGTATGCGAGGGATTTGGTCGGGGGTTCGGGGTTACGGAGACGCATAGATTATAACGAGTATGGGGACGAGCAGGAGTCGATGGACGGGGCGGACTATGACTTGTACGACGACGCAGACAGCACGGTGGCATACGCGGTGCACTTGGCCATGAAGGACAAGGAGGATTGGCTGGTGGACAAAGCTCTGGAGAGAATTCGCCGCGCGCAGGTCATGGGACAGAAGAACGTTCGCTTGTCCAAGTCCGAGGTGGAAGCGCTCGAACGCAAACGGATGCAGACTGGCGCCAGAACTTTCGACCGCACGAGGGCTGAAGCACGGACCCCGGACGGCGGCGGCGCTGGTCGAGCAGGGATGCGGCGAGCTCCCTTCAGCGCGGTGCCAACTGCACCGTATGGTGGTGCCCTCGACGACGGCGATGTCTTCGACGCTCGGCCCAGGAGCTCGGGCTCCCCGACGTCGCAACGGCCTCGCTCTATGCGATCTCCCCAGCCCATCGCATCGCCCATGACTCCGCTTGACTCCCCTCACAGGCCCGACCGTCAGTCCGCCGCCATCCCGCACATTCGCTCGCAGGCGTCGTCCCCGCTAAAGAGCCCGGCATTCGCACGTCCTCTCCCCGACGATCCGCACTGGGTTCCTCCCTATCAGATACCGTACCCGAGGGAGCCACCTCCGTATCCCCTTCACAGCCCGCTGGAGCCCCGACCAGGAGGCTCCTCGAATCGCACAGGACTATCACCATACGTGTCAAGTTATGGGGACCGCCCGTCAAGCAGCGCGCGAAACTCGTTTACCCCGTGGTATAGCCCGGCCAAACCTGCGGCCGAAGTCCCCCAGCATGAAGAGGACGGCGAGGAGAGCGATTCGGATGCAGACGAGTTACATATTGTGGATGTGGTGGAGAGAAAGGTCCCGACAAGTCCTTCCAGCCGCGCAGCGACGGGCAAAGGAAGCCGTCAGCGCCGCAGTCGTCCTTGAAAAAAAAAAATTTCTTCTCACGTTGTGCCCTCTAGAGGTTTCTTCGTTTCTCTCACGAAGTCCGTATTATAACTTTACTCTTTTTTTCATACTTTTCTGATGAGAGCGTCTTGGTGGATTGGTTTGTTTCTTCGGTGTCTTGTGTCTATAGTCGAGATGGTTTCTATGACCATCATGAAAACGTATCGTAAAAATAGAGTGATTATTGCTAACTTGCTTCTGAACCACTAATTACTCTCGGAATACTCCGCAGTAAGATGTAGTGTCGGAGTGATGACGAGGGCAGCGGCGATGACGTCGAGGACCCAACGGCGAAGGAAGCGTCGAAAATTCCCGGGCAGGCCGAACTTTCTCTCCTTCACAGCCGCCCCCCTTCCGGTCGATCTCCTCGCCCTCTCTTGGTTCAGCGTTTAACCTAAATTAATCAATTTCCTCGCTCGTTTCTTTTCATTTCTTTTCTCCTTCCACTCTCTACTAAGTAGGCAGGGACCCCACGCGGTTTCACTCGCTACTTGCCCAATTTCTCCCTCCCACTCCCCCTGCCTACTTCCGTTGGCCTCTGTCGCGTGCCACTTCTCACTCGCGATTCTCAGCGACAAATCTCGGTTGCCTGGCGGAGATACTAAGGAAACCAACCGATCACCGGGAGGCGTTGCACGGCTTTGCTAGGCATCATCGAGTAAGTTTGATCTAAGCCACTTCCGCCCTTCCCGGCCAATCCATGTTTGATTGCTTGTTCACACGGGTAACCGGTCATACTTCATGTAGGCTGACAAACGTTCCCTGCTCTCCCTGCTTCAGTCTAGGTCGTTCTTTACTCGAGTACCCTTTTAAACACTCGAGAGCTGCTTTCCAGTTCCTGGTGGTAATTTTTTCTTTTTTTTTTTTTTTTTTTTTTTTCCTTTCCTTTGTTGTTGTCAAGGATCTATCACAATACATAAACCAAGATGTGGATTGTTTCATTTTGGATCTTTCCGGTCATATCGGCCGCCATGTGGATAGGTATGGTACTGCCGATGAAAAAGAACGACGCGCAGAGATACTGATTCACCCCCCTCTCAGCCATGCTGGTCGCAATGTTGGCACATTGGGCTGTAGTTGGGTCTCCCATATATCCTAGCATGGAACCCGGACAGACGATCGCGTAGGTCTTTCGCCCCGGTGAATATGAAACAAAAACTGACCGTCAATCGCTGTTAGATACATTTCGGACGTGGGAGCGCAAGAGTTGAAGCCCCTTTTCATCGGCGGCAGCGTGGTCACGGTGGTGTTTTTGGATCTTTCGTTTGTCGCGGAGCGATGGTTGCGTCATGCCGGCCAACTGGTCCCGAACAAGGGTAAAATCGACAAAGCCTGCGCCATTGGGTCTATCTTCTTCTCTGTCGTCGGAGCTCTGGGGTTGATTCTTCTGTCATGCTTTGACACGCTTCGCCATCCGCACAAGCACGTTGGGTTTTTGGGGATGTTCCTGTAAGTTCCGGGCCCGGAAAGCCTTCGCCCAGGGCTCGAGAAGGATGAATGCTGATTTACCAAAAATACAGTGCGGGCTACCTCGTCAGCGCCATTCTTATCTGCGCCGAATATCTCCGTCTCGGGATCTTCTACCGCTCGCATCATCGAGTACTAATTGCCAGCTTTGTCATCAAGGCATCCTTCGTGGTCGTTGAGGTCGCTCTCGCCATCGCTTTTGGCGTCCTCGGACGGCACTATGGCTCTAAGAGAAATGCGGCGGCCGTGCTGGAATGGGGTAAGCTTTTACCGTTGTCCGTTTTGGGTCGAGCCGGCAGCTAACCGTGGGTCTGCTAGTCATTGCCCTGATCTTCACCTTCTACGTCCTCTCCTTTGTGATCGATTTGCTGCCATCGGTACGCACCCGCCGTCACGTTCCACAGGGCGAAAAACGCATCAACATGGCGTCTTCGGAGCCGCCGTCCGAACTCACTCACGAACAGCCCCTGACGATGGACTCGGCCGGTCCAAACGCCAATAATGTCAATTACTACCGGGGCCAACGCATGTAACGCTTGATCTCGATGCTTTTACAATTCTGCATATTCCCGGTGCGCTGAAGCCCTATTTGTTGGGACCAGGATATACCCTCGGTGGTCTTTTTATTTTGATGATCTTCTTCTATTTGCTTGAAGTATATACCCGCGTTTGCTTTGTCCATTTTGCTATATTTGGTTCTTATTTTGGATGATATTATTTTGTGTGACATACTTTACCACCATTATCGTAATATCAAGATAGAGGAAGAGAAAGACGAGTCTGATATTTCATTATCATTATCCGAGGAGTTCGAAGGGGGGAGCAAATTCTCAGTCTATTCTTTCTTGTACATGCATGCTTGCAACAGAGCTCAGATCCCGCTAAATAAGTACCAGATCAGGGTAAACATTAAGAATGAAAAAGCAAAGTGTCAACCAACCACCGCTATGCGAGCAACGTCCGTCGGATTCGCTCCAGCTTCTCCTCATCCACACCCACATAGCGCAGGTAGCCCTCGACGCCACCATACTTCTCATCCAGATGGCGCCGGATCTCCGTCGTAAAGCCGTCCGGGCACTTGGTGTAGTCCTCGGACAGCCCCAGCAGGCGGATCTCCTTCATGCGCTCCTCGACCTCGACGAGCAGCTCGGGCTCCGACCGCACGTAGTCCTCGCGCATGGCGTCCTCGGCCACGCGCGCCGCCAACAGCAGCAGCAGGAGGATCACGAGCCCCGTACGATCCTTGCCTTGCGTGCAGTGCACCAGGATCGGGTACGTGGATGGTCGATCCCCGTCGCGGGTCGTCCCATCCTTCTCGTCTTCATCCTCTTCTTCCTCCTGGTCGAGTCCGTTCTCATGCTCGGGCCCCGCAGCGAACAGGTCGAATATCGCCCGCATCTCCGCGGTGCTGCTATCCAGCGTATCCTGACCGAGTCCGATCAATCCGCGCGGCGACATCACCTGCTCGCCGACGATGAGCACCGCGTCGGGTCGGTAGCCTGACGCCGCTAGGGCCAGCACCTTTCTGTTCTCGTATGTCAGTCGAATACGTAAAGTCAAGGCACAACCATCGAATATGGAGGTCGACGACAAGACCCAAATAATGCATTCAGGGGGGAGTACATGAAATGCCACCAGTCCAACTTCCACAGGAGCGTCCGTTCGAACGCTTTCCCCGTCAGACTAATCAGTTCGCGACGCACGCCGGGAAGATCGACCAGATGCTGGTCCGCCGAGGCAGAGGACGCGGCCGGGTCCTCATCACCCAGCTCAGCTCGGCGTTTGGTCGTTGCCATTTGGTGTTCGGTGCTGGGAGAGGTCAGTTAGACAATACATAGCGAGAGTTGACTAGACACATACCTCGATCGCAGATCGATCACAGTAGAGATGTGCAGTTCGTCCGTGAGACGGCGCTTGTCCCGTTCGGATGCATCATCCAGCTAGAAAGAAGGATGTTAGTTTGAAGGGACTGGTTTGCTTTTTGGTCTCAAGATCAGGATGGTTATTGAATACCCAGGCACTACGAAAGAGGATACCCTCTTTTAGAATCCTAGTTCGATTTTTCGATCAGCTTCGGTTTATTGACCAAGTTAGGAAGATAAAAGTAAAAAAGCATAGAATCAATCGACATACGATCGTCCCACCAGCCGATTAATCGAGCGGCCAACATCCCGGAAGTTGATGATGTTGTCGAATGGACGATCGGGCGAGTCAAGATCGACGCTGGACTGCCGCGGATGCGAGACTGCAGCCATGAAGAACGAGAAGGCACAAGATCCTCGGAGGGCGAAAGAGAGAAGGGAAAAGGGGCGAAAATTGAAATGAAAACTCGCATGCAACCGGTGGCCGGTCAACTCATGGTTCTTCCCTCCAGCGCAGAAGGCGACGTGGAGTCCGCCGTGGAGCCGCGCGCTAAAGAGCGGTGGAGGGCGGACGATGTGAGTCTAGATCGTCCTGTCCTCCATTCGACGACTTTTTGTGGCATGCTAGACGTGATCGCTAGGTACTCTGCTCTTACAGGTTCTCGAGGTCTCTGAATGGGTGGTGTGCTGGGGTTGGACCTCTGGTGTTCGTCTAGAATGCGTCCTAAGGTGGTCTATATATCCTCAAGTATACATACTATGACCCGTCCATAATGAATCCCAGACAAGCTCAATTTAACCTAAAGAAACAGACTACCTGTCTCTCGATAAGTCACTTCCTGAAGTACATACATCGAACGCAGAAGCCAATTACACACAAAAACCCCAGACGCCATAAAGAATGGTTCGGCTCTGCAGGTTCTCTCTTCAAAATCAAAAGATACACGAATGACACAACCATCAAGAAACATAATCACAGATCTTCCGAAAACCTCGACTCGCGGCCGGTGCCATTGCTGAGTCGCTTCCCAATGGCAGGCGGAACGGGCAGGCCCTGGTCGGCCGCGCTGTCTCGCAGTCCATCTCTCTCAGGGCTTCGGTCGTACAAATCGTCGGCCGCAGTATGTTCGATTGGGACCGGTTCTCCCTGGGCCTCGTGGCCCTGAGGTTCGACTCCGTCGGTCTTCGCCTCTTGTAAGCCCCCGGAGGCTTCCTGCTCCTCGCCTGCTCGCGCCTCCGCAGGATGATCCTGATCCGTGGAGCGTATCGGCTCCCCCGCAATATCGCTGGCCCTTACAGGATTCGACCGGAGGGGCGCAGCACGCGACTCATCCATCGAGGTCGGGCTTCCCTCGTCCGTCGCATTAGGGGTGGGCTCGGGATGAACCTCTGCTTCTTTTGGAGCGGCGGCGGCGGCGGCGGCGGCGACACTAGACCGACGGCCACTCAATCTGCCGATCCAGGTCTTGAGTTTGGATTCTGATCGAGAGATAGCAGGCTGCACGGCATTCGGTTCGGCGGCGGCGGTAGCGCCTGAAGCCACGGCCTGTTCGTTGTCCGGCGCAGTGTCCGTCTGGACCGTATCTTGGGTCACGGTGCCAGCAAGTCCTTCGCCCACGGGCTCGGTGTCTCTTTCTTCGGTGGCACCGCCGGTGACTACAGGCCTTTCGGCTGCATTGTTTCCATTTCGTTTGAGCTTCTTCCTCCATGGCCAGTGCTTTTCCTCTTTGCCTTGGCTGTTCTGCTTCAAGGTCGCTGGGATGATGTTAAAACAAGGGAATCCAAAGTAGATTGGTGAATGATGCAACGAACCTCTCTGCCGCTTCTCCTCGGCCCGTGTATCTGCCTCTCGCTGACGCTCTACGGCGTCATGGCGTAGTTTTTCCTCCTCATCCAACCGTTGTTCCAGTTCTTTGGCCCGTTGTGCCTCGGCACGTTCATGGATTTCGTCGAAAGTTGGCTGGAGTCTGGAACGAGCCAGTGCCTCGACGTCCGACATATCCACGAACTTCTGGGCTCCCAGATTGACCCGATCCGGGTGGACGATATGCGCATCGATGTCCTGCATGTCCTTCTCGGCGCGCGCCAGGGCTGCCTCCTCCCACTCCTTCCGTACGGAGGGCGTTGCACGACCGGTCTCGGCGTAGGCCCGCCTCTCCATATCCTGGATGGCCGCGTCGACATTCTTTCTCGCAGCCTCCATGAGCATGGTGCGGTCTCTCTGCCTCTGCTCATCGACCGCATCCAGCTTCGTGCGCAAGCTGGTCATCTGATGCCGGATTTCTCGGGACCGCTCTGCGTCGAAGGACTCGTCGGAGTCAATCGATGACGCTCTCCGCCTACGAGCCGGCAAGCCGGAGCGCGACGCCTGGGGCTCAATGCCGATGCCATAGTATTCTCGATACACGGCCGTCTCGTCCTGCATGCTGGCCAATTTCTCGGCCGCGCGCTTTTGGGCGACCTCCTGCAAACTCATGGCACGTTGCAATATGCCAGCGCTGGCTTTGGAGACGGCTTGCTGGGACCGTGCCCGCGCATGGCCCCTCTGAGCGGCGGGGATGGCAGCACCTGCCTGGCCCCCCTCTTCCGCGATGCCGTACATTTCCCGCGCCATCGATATGGCAGCCGCTCTCATCACATTCTTCCTGTTCTGCTCCTCCACTTCAATGGCCACGGGCGGAGTCGCAGTGTAGAGGCGCGCGTTGGTGTTGGCAACGTGCTGGATCCGGCTGGCTTCCATGGAGCTGTCGAGCTCATCGAACGGGTCTCTGGCACCCGACATCGCGTAGGGGGTCTCCAACGGAGTAGAATCAGCCCTCTTTCGACTGTTGTAGAAAGCCCCAGATGCAGCGCGGATGGCCTTTTCTCTCGAAGTAATCTCCCGTCGCCCATCTGCCGAGGGGGTATCATGTTTGGAGTCCCCGGCGGAAGGGCTTGCGATCGACCGGTGGTCTCGGAGGGCGGAGATGGCAGCCTTGTAACCTTCCGGGCTGGGCGTTTCCTGGGTGTAATCCGGGACGTAAATGGCGGCGGCGGACGATCGGCCACTCTCGGGCTGCTTATTCTTTGCATGAGCTAGGGCAGCCACTGCCGAAGCATGACTGAAGCCGGGACGGGACCCGGTCGCTTTCAAGGCTGCCATGAGAATACCATCGTCAATACTGCACTTTTTTAAGAAAAGGGGAGGGACAGGTGCTCACTGGACAGATCCGTTCCTGCCCTTGGTTCGCGCACCGACAGTCGTCGTTCCGGATGGGTTACAAAAAGCGCAGCGGTCGCGGCTGTAAATCACCAGTTAGCGGACAAGTTGAACGCGACCGCGGATTTCTCACCTTGATCCGCTAGCCGGGCTGACCGGGATCGCGGAATTGCAGCACGCTGAGCAGGTGGCTGCTGGATAGTCGCCATGATAAAGGTATGTCCGCAGCGAATTGCAGGAAGCAAGGATCAGCGGCGGAGACAGGCATGCCTGGTTAGAAACAAGATCGAAAAGAAGAGCGAGGGAAAGGGGATAAGGAAAAGAGAGGGGCCCAGTAGTTGAACTTTGGAATGATTCCTCCGGAAGTTTGGGAACGAAGAAAGTCTCGTGTCGACCGTGACGTAGTTGGTTGCAAGGAGCGACCCACGGTTCCTCCTAGTAGCTTGGCGGGGAGGGAGGGTGGATGATGGTAAAAGAGTCACTGATGTCACGACGTGGCTTGGATATCAAATATGTCAGGGAGAGCGTAATGCGCAAGGGAAGGAGAGTCGAGTCAAGGTGGTAGTGGAGGGAGAATGGATGATGAGTCGTTGAGGGAGTTGAGTCGCATTCCTTCCGTTTTCAACGCGACTCCACCGATTTTCCCGATCGTCCGGAGAACGAGATGATCGTGGAGTCTAGACCGTGCTGCTCATGCAACGTCGGACTCCCGGCTCAGGACTCTTATGGTCATTCTAGAAAAGAAACGGGAAAATAATATACAAATAGTAAGGGAAAGTTCCATTTCTAATTCCTATGCCCCCCATCCCTCTCCCTTCAGCCGGTGTCGTCATGGCATCCTCGTCGGCCTACCAGAGACGAAGCATCTTCAGAATATCATGTCGCGTGAAAAAGGAGCGGTTCCTTTTGCCGAATATATCTAGAGAGAGCATCAGTGTCTGTAGTGGAGGCGCTGTTGCAAGAGTCACACGTACACATAGGAATGCTCAGCACGCAGATGCCCATCTGGATGCTAGATATGGCCAGGAATGCCGGTCGGATGCCGTTGGACACAAGCCAATCGTAGGCGAAGAAGGTCAGGATGAAGCTGAAGATGTTCTTGAAGATCAACATGCACGTGAACGACTCGATGGCGATATTTCCTGTGATGACACTGAGTAACGACGTCCTGGCACGGCGCGGGATAGTCCGTCCACTTACGATGTGCATCAACGATGTATAGCGCGCTAGCAACGGCTCCCATCACCATCCCGACCACGACGAACGCAAAGAAGACATCGACCACCAGCCACCCATACCTGCCCACATCCTCGGCCACAATGCCGAACCCGTAAAGCCCGACACCGCAGAACACTAATTGGAACAGCACTAGCAGGATCCGGAACTCGGGCTCGTACCTGCCTTTGTTGAGTCTTATCATAATCCGATTCATTGAATCGGAAAGAAGTCCCGAAAGGATCAGGCCTAGAATGGAGCCGATAAAGGCGCCGGTGTACAGGTACCCGGTCTGAACCTCGTTAAACCATAGCGGAGGGCCGAGAAAGATCGCGGCCAGTACAACCCCGATAAACACCGTCCATCCGATAATTGCGCCTTGGATTAAGCAGGCCTTGAACAGGCAGGCATATCAGTCGCTCTATCACCAAAAGACACAGGCTTCGGAGTGAGGAGCTTACCCATAGAATGGCAGGATGAAAGAAAAGGGGGAATGGTCTCAGGAGAAGTTTGAAGAAGTTTTCATCGGTTTTTCTCCCGTTGAACGGCTTCAGGCTCTGAATGTAAGACGCTTTCGAGGGCGCCGCGGTCTGTCGACTAGGATTCTCATTCCAGGAAAATGCCACAGAGGAGTTGGGATTGCTGGCGTGGGCGTGCTTTTGCTGTTCCCCCTGGGATTGACCTTCCTTCGAGACCGTAAGACAAAGTCCGGTCTGCGGCCCATGCAAAGATTCGAAATCGGTGTTTAAATGATCGGGGCGCCTGAAAGCTGTCTCAGGGACCAGGAAGAAAGTCAGGGGTAGGACCGCTGCAGTAAAAATTGCCAAGAGGTAGAAAGTCCACTGCCATCCGAGGGAATGCGTTATTTTACCAGCGAGCACCGGTGTGAGAAAGGCAGCCCCGAAGAGAGCCACATTGGATAGCGCCATCCGTTTCCCACGTTCCTTCAACGCACTATTAGCACGCCGCCGCCACCAGACGACCGGGGGGGGGGGACCTACATGGACGAAAAACAAATCACCAACACACGCGTTTACCAACGCCTCAAATGGGGCCAGGGCTACTCCTTGGAAAATGCGAGACCACAGCAGACTTTGGTAGTTATCTTTGCTTCCACCGGCCCAGGCGCAGCTCACTACCATCAGCAGATTCCCCAGGAGAAACAGATGGCGCTTGCCCCATACTCGCGCCGTGGGCACAATCAGGATGCCGGCGACTCCAACCCCGCACAGATGATAGCCGGTGAGAAGGGCCACGGAGGTGAAGCTCTTACCGTAATGGAGAGCAATGGTGACGGTGTTGGCAGCCATGAGAGAGCTGGTCGTAGCACAAAGAACCGAGACAAAAGATAGAGCCAACAGAGTGACATCGCGCTTCCAGAGCGGCCAGTTCTAGATTGTATTTCGGTATTAGCTGACGCGAGCTGAATGGCTCTCGACCTAAAACGCCCTTAGACATACCAGTGGATCGTTAGGGTCATCGCTTGGTTGAGGAACGAGCAGAATAGGGACCGATCCCGAGCGGTCGTACTTGAGGCTGGCATCGACGGTAGCGCGTTCGCTCGAATCCTCGCTTTGAAGGATATCGCATGTGCCTGCACAGTCCATGTTATGAGGAAATCCTACCCACCGACAATCCCATCAGGCTTACCAGGCACATGAGCCAGAGCGCTATTCTCCAAGATACCAAGACCCATCTTGAGCGAGACGGCGAATGGGCCCGAAAAAGCTGCGAACCAGCCAATCCTTGCAAGATCTCTCGACGGCGAGGACGAGCGATGAAGGGAAATCGGGAAAGCGGGAAAAGGGAGTGGATGAGGGCGTGGTGACGACTTAAGGAAGCACAGCGTCAATGACGGAGAGTGGAATGTGATGGTAGCAGCCACATAGACGCCCACTACCACCTAATGGAGAAAGTGTAGGGACACGGAGACACAAGCGACGGCCACCTCCTCCGATCTCGATCAATAATCACACAGACTACTGTGCGGCAGTGCGAAGAAAGAAAATGCGAGGATCAACATTTGCCCAATTTCTGGCCGGCACCAAGTCGAACTTAGCGGTGATGATCTACAGCGCCTCCCTTACGTTCCTTGTCGCGACGTCCCCAAACAAGTCTTTCGTGGTACCAAGCGACCCAAAGAGTGATGGTCGTTTGAAAACGTGAAGCGAATCAAGGTTCGTCAACCGGATGGAAGGTGGTGGAACTTGCATGCTCCATACTCTGGCGGGCGAGGGAGTCAAAGCCGATGAGCAGACCGAGGGAAGATGGCATATGAAGATGACCCACCGGCGATCATGCCTGGGAAGGGCGAGTGGGGAAAAGGCCCCAACAAACAAAGATCCGGGGAGGGGAGTGGGCCCTGCGGTAGCGCCGCGGTAGTCAACACTAGTCGGAGGATAGTCGGGAGGGACTATGTACAGAGTACCTATCCTCAGAAAAAGAAGGAACGAGGGAGGCGCACCCGGACGTACCTGTAGTCTGTAATAATGTCCCGTTCCTGTCTCCCCCTGCCTTCGTTCCTTTTTCTTGTGTCACCGCGAGCGGGGAAAGTCAATAATTATTATAGACTCAATCCACCACTATCTGCTCTTTCTTTCTTTTGCTTTCCCTCTTCCTCCTTCCCTCTCTCCTTCTCTCCTTCTCGTCCTCTCCCTCCCTCATTCTTTCCACCCCCACCTTCACCAGCGCGAAACTCTCTTGCACGCTCACAATCCCAACCACTTCAGACATCTACACGACGCGATCACAATGAAGCTTCATCTCGTGTCTCTGGCTCTTGCCGCTTGCCTAAGCACCGCGGCTGCTCAGGGCTTAGATAGTCTCCCAAGCTGCGCCGTACGTACTTTCCCTCAGCAATCCCATCGTGACTGGCCTTTCGTGTTAACATCCTACAGAAAGATTGCGCTACCAACGCCATTCCCGAACACTGCGGAATGATTGATGTCGGCTGTATCTGCTCGGACAAGTCTTTTCTCTCCAGCATCTCTTGCTGTGTGTCCAACAAGTGCTCTGAGGATGATCAGAAAAGTATGCCTCAGCCCTACCGCTCATCGTTTGGACCACTGTACTGATAGGCACCGCCTTCCTCTAGCTGTCATCCAGTTTGCAAACCAGATCTGCAGCGGCGCCGGCGTGAAGGACCTTCCCAAGAGTGCTAGCTGTGCCAGTGGAGCTTCCTCTGCCACTGAATCATCCTCGGAGACCTCCCCTTCATCCACCGCAACTGGTAAAAGCAGCGACACCGCGACCACCGACGCCTCAAAGGCCTCCAGCACTGATTCTGCATCCTCCAAGACTGCGAGCAGCGCCGGATCCTCAACTTCGACCGCCAAGTCTGCCGCTAATAGTACGGGCGCTGCTGCCCTCGTGCAAGGCAAAGATACTGGTCTGCTCGCTGCGGCCGGCGCTGCTCTCTTTGCATTCCTGGCATAGATAAGGTGACGAACCGCACATTATGGCATTGAACACGTGACAGATGTGCATTTACAACGGAATTCCTTCTTCATCATCTTTTTTTTTCTTCTTTTCGCTTTTCTTGCAAGCAGTGTATCGCCTTTAATTTGTAATGATTTAGTGGCTGAGGTTGCGCACTCGTCGGCTGAATGCTCAATCAGACAGACGACCCTACGGATATGAAAAACAAGATAAAACAAAAACAGAATGACGGCAGGAGGCTGAAGGAGAAGGGAAAAAAAGACTCAAAGGTTTTATGGCGCAAAACTCCAGATAGCCCAATATGTATCTTTTAAGAATTCATGTTCAAACGAGCCAAATTCGGGGAACGATAACCTTCAAATCATTGGTCTCGCTCCGCAATGCGAGCAGCGATCTCTTGCCGCTCTTCACGGAGCTTGAGATAGATCTGTCCCCACCCATCAGTAAAGAGGACCAAGACGGAGTGAGCATGGACTTACCCAAAGCCAAAACATCATTTCCATAAACCCATAGGTGAAGATCACCCTATTTTTCAACTGGTCGAGGCCGGAAGCCGCTTCCTGTGCAGCCCCATATCCCAAGGCGGCCCGCGTGTCGTTCACCCCCCAAGCCGACGGCTTGCTCTGGTAGATAAAGAATGAAACGGAGAAGAAGAGACAAAAGCGCGAGGCGGAGAGTAGGGTCCAAATCTCGGAGTAGAGAGAGGCTAGACGGTCCAAGAAGGGGTTCATTCGCAGAGCTCCTGCCACAGGGATGGGGGATTGGGATCGAGCGGCCGAGGCCATCGCAATGACTTCATTCATCTGGGGGATCTTGGTGACCAGGACGAGATCAACCAGGGCGTCGGCGACGAGGAGGATTCCACAGAGCGCGAAGGGCGATTGGGGGCGCGAGAGCGACGGGGCTGCATCCTATCGGGGCAATCAATCGGTCAGTGGGTGCGAGAGGCAACTGGGAAGTGTTCAGGAGGAATCGACGAGCATACGATCTGCAAAACTTCTCCCAGCATAAACACGACATCCGACTCCGTGACAACCTCCGGCGACCTCGTCAGGTACACGGCGAGAACGAAGAGGAACAACGCGTGCCCTTTGATGAGGGTCGTGGACGAAAGAAGACCCATTGTGTCTTGTCTCCTTTCCTTTTGTTCCCTCCGGGTTGCGAGTATCGGCGGGTGATGCGAGACGGGGTTGGTAGAGAAATGGACGGGAGGTCCTCCGGGCTGCAGGTCAGAGGTTCGGTGGGGCTCGCTCGCTCTCCCCTTGGAAAAAAGCCATGTGGGGTTGGCGGCCGTTGCTTTTCTTCTTTCCCCCCCCCCCCTCGACGCCCCTCTCCTCATATGAGGAGAAAAATAAATAAAACCTGACTGCGAATAAAGGTCGGACGTTCGCCTGCTGACTTCTGATGAATTGACCATTTTACTATACACAGACCCTACGGCACCCCACACCATGGCCGAAGCTACCTTCAACCGAGAACGTCATCTCAAGTATTTCCTCCGCTGCCTGAAAACCTTCTTGCCCAGTCTGTACACCTCCAACGACTCGAATCGCATCCTCCTCGCCTTCTTCACGGTCGCTGGGCTGGATATCCTGGGCGAGTTGCAGAACAAAACCACACCGGAAGAGAGGCTGGGGTATATTGAATGGATCTATCACTGCCAGGTCCCGTCCGGTGGCTTTCGGGGGTTCACAGGGACGGACTTTGGGCTCGAGAGACGGAACCCGACGAATGAGTCCTGGGACCCGGCGAACGTGCCGTCGACATTCTTTGCGCTCCTGATTCTAGTCATCCTGGGCGACGATTTATCCCGAGTCAAGCGAACCGAGTGTCTACAATGGCTTCCGAAGATGCAACGCGAGAACGGCAGTTTCGGGGAAGTGTTGGGTCCCAACGGAGAAGTCGAGGGCGGGGGCGATTTACGGTTTTGTTGCTTCGCTGCCGGTACAAGGTATCTTTTGAGAGGCAAACGCGGGAGCGACGTGGAGGATATTGACGTGGATAAGCTGGTGGAATTTATTGAAGCATGTCAGGTAAGATCATCCCGACGCAGCCCCAGCTAGACCCTAGTTCTTCATCCTGGCTGCCGACTTCATATCGCGCTTCTTTCCGAAGCAATGGCTGAAGCAGACGTCACTTTGTAGGCATACGATGGTGGTATAGCCGAAGCACCCTTATGTGAATCGCACTGTACGTTTTCCTAACTCCGGCCGATTGCCTCCCCTTAAGCTACTCTCATTGCTTACTTCCGAGACTTAGCCGGGCATACCTACTGCGGAATTGACGCTTTGATGTTCCTCGGTCGTCTCGCAGAAGGCGACAAGCCGGCGGCGCTTCTTTCACCCGGGTCCCATGCATTTGAGACCCTGACTCGGTGGCTTGTTTCTCGGCAGACATCTGAACTTGGCGACGACGACGACGACGAAGAAGACGCCCATGAAGGCAATGACCATACCGACCATGTAGACGAGGCGTTTGATCAACTGCCTAACCTACCAGCGCCATCAAACGAGTCGCTGCAATGGGCTGGGTTCAACGGTCGATGTAACAAATATGCCGATACATGCTATTCATTCTGGAACGGCGCAACACTCATGGTAAGGGTCCCAAGATAGTTCCCCTCGCTTAGGTGCAGATTGAATTGACAGAATGGAGGACAGATGATGGATCAATTCTCGTTGGTGGATGCAGAGCGCAACCGACGATATCTCCTTGAAAAGACCCAGCATTTGATCGGTGGCTTTGGGAAGGGAGTGGGAGAGCCACCCGGTAGGCCGAGACAGCCCCGTTCGTCCCTTCAGACATCTAACTCCAGACACGCAGATCTATTACATTCTTACTTCGGAATGGTGTCACTTGCCTTCCAGGGGGAACCGGGACTTGAGAGTGTTGACCCGGCACTGTGCGCTAGTCACCGTGCAGTACGACACTTACACACTCTGCCCTGGTGGCAAGAGAGAAAAGGTGCCGAATCCGGCCTTTAATGATAATAGAAGAGAAGAAGTCGATTCCGGCGATCTGTCGTAGCATGTACACGGTACTGTAGACACAGTAATGCATGCCATCCTGGCTTCCTTACGGTGTAGTTAGACCGTTGTGACATCATATTTCTTGAGTATGCAGTCGGTCATCATACGATCCGAGCCGATCGCAACACTGACGTGCATGCTTTAGGGTGATAGGTCTGGGAGGTGATTAAGATGAAACTTGACCGGCGAGTCTGACCGGGCTAGGCCAAGGATGCAAGGCGAATCACGAATCGACCGTCACGTTTGTTCTAATATTATGAGGCGGTGGTCCATTTCAGGGGCAGCAGGCGGATCCGAGCAAAGACAACGACTCACTAACGAGCAAACTAGTCAGTAGACCGCTCCACCCGAGCTACGAACCCAGGAACGGGCGATAGGAAAGTGGACAACTCGGCCAATTCCCTTCCATTCGATTCAATCCGGTGGGATTTCAGTGCCTGCAGCGACGGCGGAAGATTGGAGGAATCGGGGGGAGAATCCCTCGAGTAGAGGTTGCAGTCGAAGTCGAAGTACTCCGTCGACCGTAGAGATAGACGATATACTCCGGACTCCGGGGCTGCTGCTGCTTAGTCAGGATGACGAAGGGGGTAACTAGTTAACTAGTTAACATGCTTTTTTCCATGACAGAAACGGCCCACGTTCCGGCTAAATCGCCTCTTCATCAATGCCACCTCGAACGGAGCATTATTCAATAACCACAATATCATGAGTTCGGTTGTCTTCGCTGGTACGTGCTTCTGGACCAACCCACCCTCGTCACCCCTACTGCCTACTACGGAGTATTATGATTGAACTCGGGATGGCCGTTCACCCCGTTGTTGCCTGTCTACCTACGGCTTGTTGGTGCACGCCCCGGCTGTCATAATCTCCCATGATTGCTTGATCATTGTTATTCCATCTTTCTAGCGGTTGCCAAGTCAGGTGCGACTGACGCTTTAACGTTAGCGGAATTATTTGTGACCCCCTCTAGCTCACTCTCCCTCTTTCCTTCGAGCTCAGTGAGTTCATGGCTTCTCCTGACTCTCTTCTCGTTCCGGTCCTCGCTGCTTCGCGAATGAACTAGTGCTACTGTTTCGGGACTTACACTAACTCTTCCTCTGTCTTATCCCTAGTGATCGCTTATCGGGCCCCGATTTGATTACCGGTCGCCCTTCCTAAGTTCTTGCTTCTCGAACCTGCGGCTCGCTCCTGTCACCCACTCACCACCATCAACCCAACCTGCCGTCTTCCTCGCAACTTTCGTTTCTGGTCGAATGTGCAATTTCGGTAGCGGCCATTGAATATCGGAAATTCCTCTGCTCAATTTCCTCTTTACACGGACGCACCTTAACAGATATCTTTCTTTATTTTTTACACGTCCGGTGCGACGCGGCTCATTTCGATCCTTTCTTTCCATTGCTTTCCTGCCGACTACGTCAAACCGTCGACTCCTTGATTCGGTCCCTTCCTTCCTTCGTCCCTCTTCTTCCCCCCTTTTCAAAGTCCGCTCTGGCCCCTCCCCCTTTCGACAATCTCCAATCCTATTCGCTACAAAGTTTCGTTGAATGGCAACCGCAGGTGATCTGCAATTATTCGGGGATCCGTTGCAGCAATCCTAATCGCCCTTATCACACCTCCGCGGGAATAAGTAAGAACCGGCGGAGATATCTTGACACATGCCGCCTCCCAGGACGAAAGCGGAGGTTCAATCCCAGAAGCAAAAGGAAAAGGTATTTGACCAAAACCCCCGCCCCCGAGACGAGTGCTGCAGCGAGAATAGTACCCGCGCAATACGTGCGGTCTTGCAGGCGCATTGGCAGCTTCTCTTTGCTTCCGTCTCCCCACTCTCTCCCGTTCGTAACACGCGACCACTCCGCAACCATTTTTGGCTGACCACGTTTGCGCCTGTCCACCATAGCTTGCCCAATCCTACCATGAACTACTGGAGTAAGGAACATCTAGAGCTGTTTACTAAACCTTGGCACTAATCTTTGGCTCTCGGGTATTAGGGAATTCTCGTCGAAAGATCTTCGAACTGTGGGGAATTACACACTTGGAAGATTGATTGGAAAAGGATCGTTTGGCAAGGTCTACCTTGCCAACCACAAGCTCACGAATGGCTCTAAAGTATGTTACGGGCTCGGGAAGGCGCTCTCCCGGAACGAACCAGCTTCTCATAACTAACATGAATAGGTCGTGCTTAAATCTTCGGACAAGGAGGATACGAACCTTGCGCGCGAGATCCATCACCACCGCCAATTTCTTCACCCCCATATCACTCGTCTCTACGAAGTCATCGTGACGGAAAAGCTGGTCTGGTTGGTCCTCGAATACTGCCCGGGTATGACATGCGACAATGAACGGAAAATCTGTCAACTGTTGCTAACCCTGCTGTAGGCGATGAGCTTTATAATTACCTCCTCCGCCACGGTCCGCTCCCCGTCGATAAAGTCAAAAAGATATTCACACAACTTGTCGGTGCAGTCGCGTATGTCCACAGCAAGTCTTGCGTCCATCGGGATTTAAAGTTGGAAAACATTCTTCTTGACAAGCACGAGAATGTGAAACTATGCGACTTTGGATTCACCCGGGAATACGAAGGAAAAGCGAGCTACCTGCAAACTTTTTGTGGCACCATATGCTACAGCGCGCCCGAGATGTTAAAGGGCGAAAAGTACGCCGGTGAAAAAGTGGACGTGTGGAGTTTGGGTATCATCTTGTACGCCCTGCTTGCCGGGGAGCTTCCTTTCGACGAGGATGACGATCTTGTTACCAAATCACGGATCCTTAAGGAGGAGCCTGTATTCAACGACAAGTTCCCTGATGATGCAAAGGCCCTGATCGCCCTGCTTTTGTCGAAGCGACCTCTGATCCGGCCTAGTCTCGGTGAGATTCTGGCTCACCCGTTCCTGGCAGAGCACGTGTCCGAGCAACTGGCAATCTTGAAAATACCTCGACCTCCAGCGTTCTCGACATCGTTAGAGCGAACCACCCTGCAGCGAATGAAAAGTGCAGGCATCAACATCGATGAGGTGATAGAGAGTGTTCTCGCGCAGCGCTGTGACCCTCTTGCGGGCTGGTGGGCGCTGCTGATCGAAAAGGAGCAGCGCAAGGAGCAGAAACGAGAGCGCAAACGACGCGAAAGAGAGGTTGAAGCCAAGAATATTCGCCGATTGAGTGCAGCAAGCAGTCGCCTAGAAAAGAGATCCTCCGCGTTGGTTGAGGTCGATGAAGAAGGGCATGCTTCGGCCAACGTGCCTCTACAGGAACGGGGGAGGAGAGACCGACGCAGTCTCCCGTCTCAGCTCGCCGTCCCGGAGTTGCCAATCTTGCCAGAGCCGGTCCCGGTTCAGTCGGCCGATTCCAGCACCCCTCCGCCTCCCCCCGTGGACAAGGATTCAACCCGATCGGTCAGCTCTACGCGGCGGCGCCCGTTGCCACCGCCCAAGGACAGAAGGCGTTCGCGGCCCAGCACGCTGCACGTCAGCGCCTCACAACCCGAGCTGGCGCAGCACAATGGGATTTTCAGGCGCCGTACTGGCCGCCGCCAGTATCCCATCATCAGCCAGCTGGCCTCGTTGAAGCATTGGTTCGTAGAGTCTGCCAAGCGGGCCAAGTCCCCCCATGGCAAAAGTGCCGGTGGATCGGGGTCTCATCGTAAGTTTTTGTCGGAGAAACTGAGTCCTGCCAAGGGGCAGGAGGCTGCGAGAAAGACCATGCCGGCATCGTCGTCCACCGCTCATCCGGGCGATCTGTCAACGCCGACGCAAGCGAAACGTGCATCCACCGCGAGTAGCCTCGCCCCAAGCAGCGCATCCTATCGCAATCATCGTCATTCCTATCCTCGCCAACCTCGTCCTCTAAGTACCAGCAACCCCCACCATCGGAATTCCTTGTCCCCATCTCCGATCACCCCCCGGGGCTCCTACAGGCGGTCTTCGGCCGGTCTACGGGGCCGCAAATCGACATCCTCGTCCATTTCTTCGATTCGGAGTATCCACCATACCCACACCCACTCGAAGGCATCGTCGGTCTCGTCGAACAGCATTGGATCAGCCTCCACTCCGACGGCTCGGATCTCAAAGTCCCCCCACTCTTCAGTCAAAGTGCTTCCCACCACTCCAGGGTCGTCCTCTCGCTTCCCTAGCAATATCCGCTTGGTGAGAGGCTCGAACAATGGATACCGTGAGATGAACGAGCCCAATGGACGAGCGAACTCGATGTTCAACGAGGCAGCTCCAACGCCCATGCTGTACTCGCCATCTTCCAGCCTGGTCTTTGCCCGTCGGAAGAAGTCGGCCTTCAAAGGTCCGATGTCTCACACAGCCAACCTCATGGTCTCGAGCGGCATAGCGGCTCCGGAATTTCCTCACGATGAGATTGCAGTGGCTGCGCCGGCTGCGGGTGCAGCTCGGCCCGCGGCGAGGAAAAGCCAGATCATCGAAGAGGAGGAAGATTTGGAGGACGATGACGATTTCGAAGAGGTCGACGCATTCACCGGGACCGAGGATGAACCCGGGTCACCCATCGACGTGGTCAGTTCGGATGATAACCTGAAGACAGTGAGTCTCACTGGCTCTCCCGGGCGAAACTGCAAACCGGCCCTGGCTCCTGCCCCTGACCTTGACACGAGTCCTCTGCGCCCGCCGCGTTCGTCGTCGCTTAAAGCAACATCCGACCGAAGCCAGTACGGAGCCAAGGACGGCAGTAGGGCCGCTGACGTCTCTCCGAGATCAGTGATCTCCAACAAGACAAGTCGGGCCTGACTGGTGGCCCTGGAGCTGGGGAGTGGCCTCGATTGATTGTTTATTCTGTTTTGTACCTTCTTATACCCCCTCGCGACTGTGGCTTTTTCATTTACTTCCTCCTTGTCTCTATTCTTTTTCCTTCTTTTTGCAGCGCAGCGTCTCGTACCAGTCGGGGTCAAAAGTGATCAATGAGTCCATTGCGTTTCCTTTCCCATCGACCAACTTAAT